AAGGTGAGGTGAGGTGAAATTGGGTTTAACGTCGCGTCCAAGATTATTGCACTTATATAGCGACGTGCATGCACGTGTATGTGTGTGTGTGGCTGCTTGTACTAGTCCGGACTGATGCCGATTTATAGTGCTAGCTCACTGAGATACCATGCCGCAGTTTAACATCAATACCCCACTCAGACACAGTATACTGACTCCGAGCCGACCCGTCCTTGTTTTAGCACCTTAATGCCGAGCGCCAGACAGGGTAACAACAAGTACAATCTTTTAACGTCTTTTTGTATGACGCGGCCGGGGATCGAACCCTGGACCTTCCGCTCTCCGGGCGGACGCTCTACCACAAGACCACGGAGGCGGTCATTTGACAAGTAAAGCCAAATATATGTAGAAATAGCTTCTGCTTTGAAATTCGGCCATATATACTGACAGGCAAAAGAAAGTACACACCCATGTTGATGGCGGCTCAAAAGGAAACAAACAAGAAATGGTTATGCGGTGGTGATATATTTGATAATAGTTGTGTTTTGGACCTTAGGTTTGTAGAGTTTCGGCGACTGTTTTCAGCCTAGTATTTTGATAACGTTTGTTATTTTTGGTCAAATCCAATTTTCAAGTGTATGCTGTCTTTTGCCCGGTATAAAATACCGGACCATTAAATAACCATAAGATAACCATAAGATATCAACTCGGTTATCTTTGTGAGAGTGGTTGTGTATAAAACATAACTTTTCTTCCGGAATTTCGGAATAATTCCACAAATAATCTCTACTCTTTATAAAGTCTCAATCCTAGGCATCTATCTCAGGCGTTTATTTTCCTTAGCGAGAATTTCCTATTTTTTATGTTCCTGGATGTGAATATGGGTATCTTTATAGTACAATAGTTGGACGTTGGAATGGATGCACGTGTCAACGCGCGAACAATACACATTCACATGCAGCATGGATACCAGTGACATGAAATCCAGTTCCCATAAAAGTAACAGCACAAATCTTATTTAAACATGATGACCTTTTGGAGGCTTATCTGTGGGAACCCTTGACTTTAAATAGATAGATAATTTCAACACGTGTTGTCTCAAGATACCGGACCCGGTTTGGGTTCTTATCGAGACCGATCTTGGCTTCGAGAAAAATTTATGTGAAGTTAACTATTTCTGTGATATTGGATATTGTCAAATAGGACCGCGTGGAAGAAATCGAGAAAGGATATAAGTTCAGCACCGGTTTGTGAACACTATATTTGTTTACATTTCACATGTACAGTGAACCCCTGTTAATTCGGACGGAACCTTAAAAAATAATCGTCCGGATAATAAGAAAGGTCGAGGTTAGATTAGGGCATTTATGTCAACTAGTACGGCAGGTTTTTATTTTAGTTAAAGGGGAGGACATCAAAAGTGATGGTTGTAAAAAAAACAGACAAGAAATAATTATTCGATGATGACGTATTTGATACGTGCATCACATTTCTGTATTGAACCTTAAGTCTGCACTGTTCCGGCGACTGTTTTCAACCTAGTATGTCCTTTTTTTGGCCAAATCCAATTTTCAAGGGTATACTTTATTTTGACAAAGTTAATTAATTACATTAATGTAAGTTAAAGTTTTCATTACACTTGAAGAGCCGTTGAACGGCGAAAGATCTTGTGTGGATAAAGGAGTTTTTGACAAGCACGAATATCTGGACTCTCTCTCTCTCTCTCCCTCTCTCTCTCTCTCTCCCTCTCTCTCTCTCTCTGTTAAAAAAGTGACATACCGATATTGACATGCAGAAACTGAAATTGATTATCTTATGCCATGTTGCTACAGAGATCAAAAAGCGTGACATTCAGACCAAATTGGGACGCTTTGTGACCTACCGTTTAATATAAAATAGACGTGTCACATGCTGTATTAATTGATATCATTTTAATATTGATATAAAAAAGTAGATGCAATATCATAGTTCCACACAAAAATTCAATACACATACAAAGAAACTAAAAAAACTCACGTTATTTTTAAACTGTTTGTGAAGGGTATTTTTCATCTACATGTCTAGGGATAGTTTAGTTTCGAGTTTCAAATTATAAATCAATTTAACAGACGCATTTGATATCATTCGTTCGTGTCATCTCTATGACCAGTTCTAAATACTCCTTGATAAGATCTGTTATACCCCAGCTGTTGCACTATTGCACTGATGCAAATAAAGTGTGTTTTAGATAAAGTCGGGGGAGGGATGACAGCTTACATGAAACTACCCCGCAGAATCGATTGTGATCGAACGTGCAACATTTGGGCTCACTCAATTCCGTTCACACAAATCAGCAAGTTAATTCTCTTTTGGAAACCTGACGATAGACACCTGTTGCCTATTTGCAGGGGGTGGCCACGAGACCAGTACCAGTCGCGAGCCGGGCGCGTGGTTAGAGTGACCAGGGGTCAGTTAAATGACCTTTATCGCAGCAGCTGGCCGAATCAGACTCTCCCCAGGGTGTGGGGTCATCCCCGTCTAGATGTGCATCTTCGGATGGAACTATTTCAGGGTCCTGTTGTGGCTCTTCGGCTTTGAATCGGGTGACCCCTTTTTAAGTTTAAAGAGGGTTTAAAAATTATGAACGATAATACCTCACCAGGACATGGGGCAATTATCACACGAGTGCGAGGAAATTCAAGGATGATCATTAATTTTGGTCAAGGGGTTTAAGTGGGTGAATAAAAGTCGCGTGGACAATGCAAATTACACAGAGCAACCCCTCGAAAGTAATGTCGGCTTTAAACTTGCATCACCAACATGTCAGCGATGATTTCAACGATCACATCTGCCGTCAATGATAGAGTTATTTTAGCCTGAGTAGGGTGGAAGGTCAGGAAACAACACACATCACTGTTTATACGGGCACCGTCACTAATTATGTCAATTAATGTTACTCATACCAAATTGAAATTGACATCATACCAAGCAAACATCACAGTAATTAATAGAGCACGATGGTTCATTACGCTCTCAAACCACATGGCTGTGATCACAGGCCATAATCAAATTTCTCAGAAACATAAAAGGGAAAAAAGCTTTATTGTATATTTTATGTACATGTAGAATTATTTATACTACTCCAAACAAGTTAAGAACTCCCGATTGTGTGACGGTTGGCGGGTATTACAACTCACAGCCTTCTGGGGTTCCTTGACTTGTTTTGATTAGTATACTTTGTGAATGTTTCCCAATGCCTGCATGCCAATTCATATACTCATTAATTACAGTTAAATATGCCTATAGGTCTACAGGACACAGCTTATCAACTCATTACAAAAGTCGCCTTATAAGCCGTGCTAATAGAAAGGTCCTCAGTTGTACATAATCATATAATTACGTTTGGGGACAATGTTAAATCAGACAATCCATCATGTGCCTGGTTTCGTTTGATTATATAGTTTATATTTAACTATGTCGTTTGCAGGTTTAAGTTGAATATCAATTTCACTCACACAATCAATGAATAGGGGCCACCATTGCTGAAGCTATAGCTGTAGTGGCGTGGTTGCTGCATGTAGTGAGTGTCGCTGTAGTGACGTGGTTGCTGCATGTAGTGAGTGTCGCTGTAGTGACGTGGATGTTGCATGCAGTGAATGTCGCTGTAGTGACGTGGTTGCTGCATGTAGTGAGTGTCGCTGTAGTGACGTGGATGTTGCATGCAGTGAGTGTCGCTGTTGTGACGTGGCTGCTGCATGCAGTGAATGTCGCTGTAGTGACGTGGTTGCTGCATGTAGTGAATATAGCTGTAGTGACGTGGTTGCTGTATGCAGTGAATGTCGCTGTAGTGACGTGGTTGCTGCATGCAGTGAGTGTCGCTGTAGTGACGTGGTTGCTGCATGCTGTGTTTGTCGATGTAGTGACGTGGTTGCTGCATGCAGTGATTGTCGATGTAGTGACGTGGTTGTTGCATGCAGTGAGTGTCGCTGTAGTGACGTGGTTGCTGCATGTAGTGAGTGTACTGCATGCAGTGTTTGTCGATGTAGTGACGTGGTTGTTGCATGCAGTGAGTGTCGCTGTAGTGACGTGGTTGCTGCATGTAGTGAGTGTACTGCATGCAGTGTTTGTCGCTGTAGTGACGGGGTTGTTGCATGCAGTGAGTGTCGCTGTAGTGAGGTGGTTGCTGCATGTAGTGAGTGTACTGCATGCAGTGTTTGTCGCTGTAGTGACGGGGTTGCTGCATGCAGTGAGTGTCGCTGTAGTGACGTGGTTGCTGCATGTAGTGAGTGTACTGCATGCAGTGTTTGTCGCTGTAGTGACGGGGTTGCTGCATGCAGTGAGTGTCGCTGTAGTGACGTGGTTGTTGCATGTAGTGAGTGTACTGCATGCAGTGTTTGTCGCTGTAGTGACGGGGTTGCTGCATGCAGTGAGTGTCGCTGTAGTGACGTGGTTGTTGCATGCAGTGAACGTAGCTGCAGTAGCGAAAGTTTTTGACGCCTCGTGTTATGTGGTAGGAAGATATTAGCTGGTCTGTCTCACAGTTCCTGGCCCGTATTATTTTCCCTTCCGCCCGACCCTTACTGTAATGCTATAGTCCTAAACAAAGCTAGATATTACCATGTGTTCACGATTATCCCAGCAATGGAGTGATGAAAATTTACTCTCATAACTCATTTTTAACCTTTTATGACCTTTAACCTCCACTGAACCATGCCAATCTAATGGGTGTTATGTTGCAGATTCTAAAATAATGGACCCTCATGAATCTTGTTTATGAAAACAATAAATTCATACCAAATCCATCTCAGAAATCGTATCATCAGCAGCAGCAGCAGCGGCAGCAGCATCATCAGCATCAGCATCATCATAGTCGTCGTTATTATTATTGTTATTATTATTCTCAAATTGCATGAAATATCAGTACACACACACACACACACACACACACACACACACACACACACACACCAACGAATCAATGTGCATGAAAATTACATTCTCAGCTTCCTTGGGAGAATGCAACCCATACTGCATGTGACCAGACTACCAGGGACCAGGATACCAGGGGCCAGACTACCAGGGGCCAGACTACCAGGGACCAGACTACCAGGGACCAGACTACCAGGGGCCAGACTACCAGGGACCAGGATACCAGGGACCAGACTACCAGGGGCCAGACTACCAGGGACCAGACTACCAGGGACCAGACTACCAGGGACCAGACTACCAGGGGCCAGACTAACAGGGGCCAGGCTACCAGGGACCAGACTACCAGGGGACAGACTACCAGGAGCCAGGCTACCAGGGGCCAGACTAACAGGGGCCAGACTACCAGGGCCTACACTACCAAGGTCTACACTAACAGGGGCCACACTAACAGGGTCTACACAACCAAGGGCCAGTCTACCAGGGGCCAGACTAACAGGGTCTACACAACCAAGGGTCAGTCTACCAGGGGCCAGACTACCAGGGCCTACACTACCAAGGTCTACACTAACAGGGGCCACACTAACAGGGTCTACACAACCAAGGGCCAGTCTACCAGGGGCCAGACTAACAGGGTCTACACTACCAAGGGCCAGTCTACCAGGGGCCAGACTAACAGGGTCTACACTACCAAGGGCCAGTCTACCAGGGGCCAGACTAACAGGGTCTACACAACCAAGGGCCAGTCCACCAGGGGCCATACTAACAGGGCCTACACAACCAAGGGCCAGTCCACCAGGGGCCGGACTAACAGGGCCTACACAACCAAGGGCCAGTCCACCAGGGGCCAGACTAACAGGGTCTACACTACCAAGGGCCAGTCTACCAGGGGCCAGACTAACAGGGCCTACACTACCAAGGGCCAGTCCACCAGGGGCCAGACTAACAGGGTCTACACAACCAAGGGCCAGTCCACCAGGGGCCATACTAACAGGGCCTACACAACCAAGGGCCAGTCCACCAGGGGCCAGACTAACAGGGTCTACACGACCAAGGGCCAGTCCACCAGGGGCCAGAGTAACAGGGTCTACACAACCAAGGGCCAGTCCACCAGGGGCCAGACTAACAGGGTCTACACTACCAAGGGCCAGTCCACCAGGGGCCAGACTAACAGGGTCTACACAACCAAGGGCCAGTCCACCAGGGGCCAGACTAACAGGGTCTACACTACCAAGGGCCAGTCGACCAGGGGCCAGACTAACAGGGTCTACACTACCAAGGGCCAGTCCACCAGGGGCCATACTAACAGGGTCTACACTACCAAGGGCCAGTCTACCAGGGGCCAGACTAACAGGGGCCAGACTATCAGGGCCTACACTACCAAGGTCTACACTACCAGGGGCCAGACTACCAGGACTTTTCTGGGAGTCCTTGACCTCGACGCAGGTTCAATCTATAGCCAAAGGGTCCGAGTTCAACACTTTTAAATTACAGCAACTGATGTTTCGTGGTATTACCTGTCTGTTTCAAAGGCAGCAAACATCTGCTGTCATTGTCATGCAAGATTATGCATTGTCCGATCTCGTGTAATCTCGGAGTTTTCCGTGAGAATACGTTCAGTGTACTGATGTAATCGGATGGACTTTGTATGAAGAGCTTTACTTGCACGGTATAACACATGACTTAGCAGTTTTGTGGGCTGTAATGCTGACGTCGCATATTTGCATCCACGTAAATAAGAGTCCAAGATCTACCGTATTTTGTAGTGTAGTGTAGGCCCTGGTAGTGTAGACCCAGTTAGTCTGGCCCCTGCTAGTCTGGTCCCTGTTAGTCTGGCCCCTGGTAGTGTCGACCCTGGTAGTGCAGACCCTGGTAGTCTGGCCCCTGTTAGTCTGGCCCCTGGTAGTGTCGACCCTGGTAGTGCAGACCCTGGTAGTCTGGCCCCTGTTAGTCTGGCCCCTGGTAGTGTCGACCCTGGTAGTGCAGACCCTGGTAGTCTGGCCCCTGGTAGTCTGGATCCCCCTGTAAGTCTGGCCCTTGGTAGTGTAGATCCTGGTAGTCTGGCCCCTAAAGTAGTCCCTGGTAGTCTGGCCCCTGGTAGTGTTGACCTTGGTAGTGTAGACCCTGTTAGTCGGGCCCCTGTTAGTCTGGCCCCAGTTAGTCTAGACCCTGTAAGTCTGGCCCCTGTTAGTCTGGCCCCTGGTAGTCCTGCCCCTGGTGGTCTGGCCCCTGTTAGTGTAGGCCCTTTAGCCTGGCCCCGGGTAGTCTGGACCCTGTTAGTCTGGCCCCTGGTAGTCTGGTCCCTGGTAGTCCTGCCCCTGGTGGTCTGGCCCCTGTTAGTGTAGGCCCTTTAGCCTGGCCCCTGGTAGTCTGGACCCTGTTAGTCTGGCCCCTGGTAGACTGGTCCCTGGTAGTCTGTCCCCTGTTAGTCTGGCCCCTGGTAGTCTGGTCCCTGGTAGCCTGGCTCCTGGTAGACTGGTCCCTGGTAGTCTGGTCCCTGGTATCCTGGTTCCTGGTAGTCTGGCCCCTGGTATCCTGGTCCCTGGTAGTCTGGTCCTTGGTAGTGTAGACCCTGTTAGTCGGGCCCCTGTTAGTCTGGCTCCAGTTAGTCTAGACCCTGTTAGTCTGGCCCCTGGTAGACTGGCCCTTGGTAGTGTAGACCCTGTTATTCTGGCCCCTGGTAGTCTGGTCCCTGGTAGCCTGGCCCCCGGTAGACTGGTCCCTGGTAGTCTGGCCCCTAGGTCTGGATTACCAGGGGCCAGACAAATAGCGTCCACATTATCAGGGTCTAGACTACCAGGGACCAGACTAACAGGGTCCAGCAGGGATACAGGGCCCAAACTATCAGGGTCTAGACTACCTGGGACCAGACTAACAGGGCCCAAACTATCAGGGTCTAGACTACCTGGGACCAGACTAACAGGGTCCAGCAGGGATACAGGGCCGAAACTATCAGGGTCTAGACTACCTGGGACCAGACTAACAGGGTCCAAATTATCAGGGTCAAGACTACCTGGGACCAGACTAACAGGGTCCAAATTATCAGGGTCTAGACTACCTGGGACCAGACTAACAGGGTCCAAACTATCAGGGTCTAGACTACCTGGAACCAGACTAACAGAGCCCAAACTATCAGGGTCTAGACTACCTGGAACCAGACTAACAGAGCCCAAACTATCAGGGTCTAGACTACCTGGAACCAGACTAACAGGGACCAAACTATCAGGGTCTAGACTACCTTGGACCAGACTAACAGGGTCCAGCAGGGATACAGGGCCCAAACTATCAGGGTCTAGACTACCTTGGACCAGACTAACAGGGTCCAGCAGGGATACAGGGCCCAAACTATCAGGGTCTAGACTACTTGGAACCAGACTAACAGAGCCCAAACTATCAGGGTCTAGACTACCTGGAACCAGACTAACAGGGACCAAACTATCAGGGTCTAGACTACCTTGGACCAGACTAACAGGGTCCAGCAGGGATACAGGGCCCAAACTATCAGGGTCTAGACTACCTTGGACCAGACTAACAGGGTCCAGCAGGGATACAGGGCCCAAACTATCAGGGTCTAGACTACCTGGCACCAGACTAACAGGGTCCAAACTATCAGGGTCTAGACTACCAGGGGCCATCAAGGACACGGGGCCAAAACTATCAGGGTCTTGGCTACCAGAGGCCAGACTAACGGGATCCAAACTATCAGGGGCCAGCATTGAAATAGTGCCCAAACTACAAGGGGCCAGACTACCATGGTCAAGACAAACAGGGGCCAGACTACCATGGACCAGACTAACATGATCCAGGGAAACAGGGTTCAAACTTCGAGTTCCAGACAAACAGGGGCCAGACCACCAGGATTCGAACTACCAGGGACCACTCTTCCAGGGTTCAAAATAAAGAGGTCCAAACTAACGATATTTCACTGACGTACAATAATAAAGTACCATGTTGTTTAACCTAGGTGTTCTTCGAACACGCAATACGGACACTTTCAAAAGTGTTGAGTCATACTCTTAGTGTAGCATGCTGTTGTATAACTATTAATACTCAAAGGTCTGTCTATCGCCGCTCCTTGACCTCTGACTTTGTCATATGCAACAGTCGTGATAGTGGGTTATATATCTCAGCGTAAACACAATCTCTGCTAGCTGATTGTATATGATTCATTGTGAGAGAGATATCCTGGGGAATCGAGCATCTCCGATTGTAAGACAATGTGGTGCATTGTTTCGCATCTCATATATATGATAATGATACTTTCGTCGAAACTGTCGTCTGCCTGACGCCCGTGTAATGTCGTCTGCCTGACGCACGTGTAATGTCGTCTGCTCCCCGTATATGAAGAAGCCCCAAGACAGCCTAAGTCGAATCTCGAATGGCGCGGTCTGGCAAGCGGTCAATGACTTGGACGTTGCTTCTTGTTGGTCTGGAAGACAGTACAGGCGGGATTGCGGTTGTTTGTTTGTTTGGTTGTTGTTGTTTTTTGTGGTCATTAAATCTACGTGTCTATATGGGTACTTGTCAAACATAACGGGGACCAATCGGTTTATACATCACATTTTACTTCTGATTGTGATTCTCGTGTTGTCTGTCTCTTAAGAAACAGGCGCGTTTGGAAACAAAGATGGTTGAGACTTGACTGTGACTTGACTCTGACTTGACTGAGACTTGACTGTGACTTGACTGAGACTTGTCTGAGACATAACGGACACCTGACTGCGGCTTGACTGAGACCTGACTGCAACTTGACTGAGACCTGACTGAGACTTGACTGAGACTTGACTGTGACTTGACTGAGACTTGCCCCGAGACATAACTGACACCTGACTGCGACTTGACTGTGATTTGCCTGAGGCCTAACTGTAACCTGGCTGCGACCTGACTGAGACCTAACTGAGACCTGACTGACACCTAAATGACACTGGCTGAGACTTGACTGTGACCTGACTAAGATCTCGCCGAGACCTGGCTGAGATCGGATGGCCAAGTAAATAACCAACGACGATTTGACTGCTGTTGTCCCCCTGCATCCACAATATACAATCAAGGCAGTGGACATGCCGGCTAGCGAAGTGATTTTACATACGGAACCAACCACACCCTGGTCAACGCGTGCTCCGCATTGGACCAAGTGGCAATGGCGATGCAAAGAAGATGCAGAAGAAGACATTATTAATTTCGTCATTAACTACAAAGATCTTATCAACTCAGAAACTTCAACAGACGATTTGTCTCCCCGCTTGTTAGTTAAACTAAATGTACGTGTCGCGAAATAAAAAAACAAAAACAAATTAATATCAATACTGACTTTGTATAGCTTTGGCAGAGTTCGTGCCTGTCAAAACCAACATGCGTGCAATAGTAAATATTAGGCCCCTCCGGCATATAACCATGTGCATTGTGAACATACATGCTCCGAGGAAGCCACCAGGCATCACGCACATTTCTAAGTGTACAGTCATTAAAATAATTGCGCAGGAATGCACCTTTGATTTGGAGACCTTCAACATAGCTACTCGATCATGTTGATTTGTGAAGTCAACACATAATGCAAATTTTCAGCCAACATGTAAGTGAACGCTCCAGAATGAATTTTGTGACTATCAAATATAAACAGAAAACACTCACATGAATTGTCTAGATTTCACAATGTGAAATAGCTGCACAGTTTAGATGCAGCGTGTTTTCAGAAACTGAAACAGATGGTATTTCGTAGATAATTATTTTCACGTTTCTAGGCTTAAAAATCAATCTGACTTTCGCATAAAATACACTCCACACACATCCTGTTACAGTTATACTTAATAGAGTCCAACATGTGCCATTGTACCAGCTTGTCCTTAACAGAACGTAGATGAAATGGACTCTCTCCCTCATCCTCACAAAAGAAGAGATTGGCTACAAGATCGATAATTCAAATCAATCGGCCATAGAAATATATATCAATACAACAACCACGTGCAGAAAATGGGAGCATGTTTGTAAAAAAATCAGTGCAACGATACAGTCTGATTATATAACATGGTTTTAATCGTCAACGCATTCCGAGATAATTGGGACGTGTTTGTACATAACAGGTCCTAGAAAAGGAGTGGCGCTTGAACACATGAGTCAACAACGCTCCAGGAGAAAGAAGTATTTAAATGATTTTATATGAGCCCGTGATTTGTTTCAAGAACAAAGGATTATGACAATTTCTTATGTATATCTTTGGATTTTGTACAGAAGATGACTTTCAAATGAACGTGCTTGTTGTTGTTGTGGCAATAAAAATGAAAGTCAGGTATTATTTCGTTACAGAAAAATACAATGAAATTGTTAGTTCGTTTTCCTGCAACTTCCCTGCACGTTTTATTAGGGACAGGTGATAACTTGATTAAGGAACCAGTCAGTTGTTTGGGGAGAGTGTTTGTTTGTTTGTTTGTTTGTTTGTTGTTTAACGCCGCAATATTCAAGCTGTATTACGGCGATCTGTAAATAATCGAATCTGGACCAGACAATCCAGTGATTGACATCATGAGCATCGATGCACGCAATTGGGATCGATGACATGCACCAACCAAATCAGCGAGCCTGACCACCCGATACCGTTAGTAACCTCTTACGGCAAGGATAATCGCCTTTTATGGCAAGCATGGGTTGCTGAAGACCTATTCTACCCCGGATCTTCACGGGTCTTGGGGAGAGTTAGTTAATGTTGGACAGCGCCACAAGATTCTAGCTAGTTCAAGACAGCCTGTAAAACATCAAGTTTAGACCAGGCAAGCCAATGGTTGATAGCATGAGCAACGATTAACGCGTTCCGATGAAATGTGATCTGCCATGTCACCACCTAGACACCCGATCCCCATTTTAGTCGAAAAGCAAAAGTGAATGAATGTTGTCAAGGGATTTGTAAATTAGCTAGTCCAACGCTGTCTGGGTGCGATGACGCGCAGTCTGCCATGCCACAGAGTCTGTCCTACCAATCCATTTAAATTATATGTCAAGCTCGGTTACCTCGGACCGTGTTTAAGCGGTCTGGTGGGTAGAGCGTCTGAGGATCTGGTGGTTCGATCCCCGACAGCGACATACCAAAAGACGTTCAGAAATGGTACCCTGCCTGGCTCTCGGCTTTAAGGGAATAAAATAAAACTAGTACAAGCGCGCGCGCGCGCACGCACACCTCGTTATATTAGCGCAATTATCTTGAACGCAACATTAAACCCATTTCCCATTACATAAGAAACCTTATTTAAAATGCACACACATCAACATATTCAGAAAACCTTTGAAGAACAAAAGAAATTTGAATTTATTATTTCACCTACTGTCCGATTTTTCACCAAAAAAATCATAGAAATGAAAAACGTCATGCTTCATGTGATATATACAAGTTCCCATTGGGATTCATGGAGCCATTCGAATGATATTTCTTGTAGGGCCACTGAATGTTGGTTGGCTGGTTTGTTGTTTAACGCCGCACTCAGCAATAACCCAGCTATATGACGGCGGTCTGTAAATAATCGAGTATGGACCAGACAAGACAGTGATTAATATCATGAGCATGCATCAACCAAGTCAGCGAGCCTGAGCACCCAATCCCGTTAGTCGCCTTTTACGACAAGCATAGTCGCCTTTTACGACAAGCATAGTCGCCTTTTACGACAAGCATAGTCGCCTTTTACGGTAAGCATGGGTTTCTGAAGGCCACTGAATGAATCAAATGAAACTTGTAACAGTGTTTTTTCACTACACATATAAATACAATGTGGAGCCGACAGAAGTTTAACTGCATCATCAACACCTCTTTAATCTGGCCAGGGCACCTTCCTCTCCAACTACTGTGTCCCTATCCAGTGAGTGAAGAGTCGAAGTCACCACTATCCATACACTATCATGGTGTGCTCTAAATAAACAAGTCTGGATCAGGCCAACCGGTGAGTGATAGCATAAGAAATGATCAGTCAGGGTACGATGACATGCAGTCACCCAAGTCACTAGGGTTGCTGCGGACTACTTCTGCCCTGGAATGCCCCTGGTGTTGCTTGCAGTCAGTCACACATCAAATACTATTCACAAGCCATTGTGACCACACAGGCCAAATATGCCCATCAAATCCTCCTTCCAATCCACAGTCATCTCCATCAACTGTTCTATAAGTGTTGCATGTGTCCAGATTTAGAAGAAAACAATATTCAAACTCGCATAAATCATTCTTTATTTAGTCTTGATGTCTTCCAAGACTGAAAGTGATATTTACAAAGACATTAGCAATCAAACAACTACACACATGATATCGAAGCCATTCATCCATACCATACAACACAAACAAACATTTGCTAACAATATTTGAAAAATATATGTCCAGATCTTAGACGCTATAGGCATATATTCATTGACAATGTTATATTTGTAAGTATTAGAGCATATATAATAAATATGCCCTTTTGACATGTCCCATTTACGAAGACCCAACATGGTCCAAGGGAGACAACTCCTTGCGTTTTCCAGTTAGAAATAAAAGGGAGAAGTTGCTCTGTCAATTTGTAAGTCTGAGTAAAATTGTTTAAAGTTATTCAAAACACCACTGTGTCTGTTTACAACTGAAATATTAACATATAAGTAAATCTAGCAGTTGTCTCAAACTCAAGTTATAGTCCCTAGAGTTAAAAATCAGTTAAACATTACCCTAAAAATATTTGAAAAACACAACTTTGCACAACTTAGAATTTGTATCAAGTATAATGGACCAAACACTTAACAATTTAATAGTATATGCTATGCAAACTCAAAGACAGGAAAAAGGTAGGAATGGGAAGAAGCAAGGCTGACCAATCAAGCAAAACACCTGGCTTAACCAGGGTATGGATCAGATGCTTCGACTCCTCACAGGGTAACCAGGTCATCAGATGTCTCAAATTCTGGATAAGTTAAACTACTTCTCAGGTACCCCAGCAGTTGAGGACAACAGTGTTCCACTGTATACCCTGGACCCATTCGCCACTTTAACTTAATTTCGCAGAATTTCTCCCACTTAACAACAACCATTCAAACTGCCTTTTTTGAATGCAAGTTCGTCAAAGAACTACTTTCAAAATCACGCCTCAATCAAGTGTTCCCCTCGAAATATTTAGCCAATTCAGAAGACATAAATAAACTTTTAGTTGGAAAAGTTGTTTTCCTGAGAACTAACACAGGGGAAGTAAGTCACTACAAGACATTCCGGCTGTATTTGAAACGGCACACAACAATCGAGATGAGTACTGGTGACACTGCTGCTTGAGTGAGTGATTGATTGAGTGAGTGATTTGGGTTAAATGCTACTTTTAACAGTATTCCAGTTACATCATGGCGTGTCTGCTTAATGTGGGAGGAAAGCCCGAAGTGATGCAGGTCTCAGACGTTTACCACTTCGGTGAAACCCACGAGCTTGGGTATGGTGCTGACAAACCTAGAAACATAATCAGGGCGAACAGGGATTCAAACCCACAATCATAGGTTTCTGGCATGCAACTCTGCACAGCAAATCGCGGCACCTTAGACGACTGGGCCCCCCGTGCCCCCCATTGCTGCTTGAAAGAACATTGTAATTTGATTGTATGTCTATCATTAGCATTGTCAAAGAAACCGGCCTCAAAACAAAGCTGTGATGGCAAATCCGTCCATGGTATTTATCACAATAGAATGAAGACTTAATACACAGGATTATCGAGGACTGGTCCAGCTGACATGATCACTTATATCCACACACACCATCAACTTTCTTTCATCATTCATCAGTAACAGAACCACATCATTGTGTGGGAATCTGGGACCCCACCGAGTCAAGAGGGAACCAGCGAGATCTCTCCAGAGCTTCGAAAAATGCCTGAAACAAGCAGAATGACTTGGATGTTATACAAATCAGCTATCAAAATCACTGAAACGAGAGTTTGTTATACAGCCTCATTTAAACTTTCTTGAAAAACTTAACAGACTTGAGTTAAGGTCCTTCTTAAATGGAGATATGTTATAGATGATTGATAAACATAATTTGGTCCAATAGAAATTGTACACTTGTCCTGTGACAAGCTTTTCATAACCAAGTCCTCCATAAAATTCTAATATTGCTGCAGTGGCCTGAAAGAACATGCACTTGCTCACCTCGCTTGATTCCATAAATTCTCTGTTCTCTTTGTTGATGTTCACTTCTACACATGGATCTGCAAAAGAAAAAATAGTGCCACAGCACTGTAGCTCACCTGGATATGTTGTCAATAGTTTACAATGTCAACAAATACAGCCACTTACAAAAAGTTGCAGTCAGCTTTGAAAACAAAATATTTCTGCATAAATACTGGACTAAAAACTAACACTAAAATATAGTGATCAGCTCCTTCAGTTTGTTTGTTATTTAACGCTGCACTCAGCAATATTCCAGCTATATGACAGCAATCTGTAAATAATCGAGTCTGGACCAGACAATCCAGTGATTGACAGCATGAGCATTGATCCACACATTCGCGATACAATGACATGCATCAACCTGGTCAGCGAGCCTGATCACACGATCCTGTTAGTTGCCTTTTGCCGTTGCTGAAGACCTATTCTACCCCGGATCTTCACAGGTCCAGCTCCTTCAGACTGGCAACTTAAGGCCAGGTGAGTTTATAATGCCATAGAATCTATTGTTAATACTTATGGCCATTCAAGTACAAAATTAGACAATCACTTAATAAAAATAGAAGAGCCACAAGACTCACATGAATGTGTATTCATATACTTTATTCACATACTTTATTTTTGTTCAAAATTTGCATCAATAGATCTTTGAGTGTATTATAGCTCCATTTCATAAGATTGGCTAAACGATACACTGGATAAGCTAGGATGCACCCTGGTACATACAGGTCAAAGTTATGCAAATGAAACAAAATACACACCACTTGTTGATAATAATACCAGATACCATATCCTGTCATATGCTCTCTGATAATACTACATACTTACAGTATACCGGTATTCAATTTCACAATGATATTTGCAGAAATGATTGAGTAACGGGAAACACATTCATTTCAATATGGCTGCAATAGTAGCCATGTTTAAAATGAAATTAGATTTGTGTGTGCAGCACAACTTGGGCCACATACAGTCACAATGTGCAACAGAATATGCTCACATTTCATAATTTCAAACTGTCATTACATTATAGATAAAAAGTTGAAACCATTTGGTTCTCAAGCAAAGACTGAAAATGTGTGCTAGTACAGATATGCCTGAGTGTAGGAGTTTCAATACCAACAAACAGAAATAGAATGACTCCAAGTTTTTGCTGAGGCCATTTATGTTATATCTGTTGAGATCTTTTTGACCACCTACATTAGATTTTGGGTAAAAACCTTTGTAAATAAACAATAGATAATTGAGATTCCTCCACATCAACTCCTTTTAACATTTCAAAAAGATATATCCAACAAGTACAGCTTCATAATATATAATAATAACAACAATGTTATAACAGAATAAATAAAAGTAAAGAAAACAACTTTAACAAAAATGTTTAAAAAGAACAGAAAAACAGGTTTACCTTCTAAAGCCTCCATGTCTTCATCATAGGACTGCCCATAATAGTCCTAGTGAAACAATTAACAAATCACCTTTAAATTAAGATAGAGAGACTTTTAAGTCATCATCTGAAAAGTATTCAACTTTATCACTTGAACACTCAAGTGACATTGACTCTGGATAATTGAGTGAGTGAGTATGGTTCTATGCCTTTTTAGCAATATTCCAGCAATATCACTGCAGGGGACACCAGAAATGGGCTTCACACCTTGAAACAATGAGGGGATTTGAACCCGGGTCTTTCGCATGATGGGAGAGCGCTTTAACCACTAGGTTACCCTACTGCCCCAACTGTGGATAAGTAAGTGAGTGAGTTCAGTATTTCAGTCAGCCTGTGTTGAGAGACAGCTCTCGAAAAAACATGCCTAAGATGTTTACCACTTTGCAACCCACAAGCATAGGTTTCTGGCATGCCCAAGGGAGGCAACTCTGCACAGCGAATCGCAGCGCCCCCAATTCAAATTAGGGCAAACCTGAACTCAAACCCATGACCTGTGGGTATCCCAGATAGGAATAAATGTTCCCAGCAACCTATGCCTGTCATTTGTTTGTTGATTAGTTGTGACATCCACGCTGTCAAGGTACCATGACATGCACCCAACCCAATACCCGAGCCTGACCTCCTCATCCATTTAATCGCCATTAATGACCAGAATAAGTTGCTGCAGACCTACTCTAACCCGGAATCCCCATGGGGTACGCTTGTCATATGAGGTGACAAAATGGATCAGGCGGTCAGACTCGTTGAGTTGTTTGATTGCATGTCATCTATCCCAGTTGTGTGGATCAATGCTCATGATGTCAATCACTGGATTGTCTGGTCCAGATTTAGTTATTTTCAGTCTGTTGCTGTGTCATTATCAAACATCATTAATCACCATCCGCTTCAAACATTATCATCATCATCATCATCATCATCATCATCATCATCATCATCATCAAATAACACACATCACCAAGACTACTTACATGGGCATCTGGGTGGTGTGAGGAGCTGCTGGGGTGCATGTGGTTGTAGTTGTACATGTAGGAGCCCCAGGAGTAGGGGCTGGGGTAGTAGCTGTTGTAATGAGGGTAGTAGCCGGAGGATGAGGAGTAGGACCCACCTCCATCGGACAGCCTGCAGCAAGTCAGTCAGTTGTGATCATACTGATAGTACATAGAGTGTATATATAGTTTGCTAACATAAACCTGAAGCACATTAACCTGAAACATATTCTAGTCCGAAGTGATAACCCAAAAAACCCAAAAAGTCAACCCCTGAAAAACATGAAATTCCACTAGTCCTCAGGATACCTTTAACATTAGTAGACAAACTGACTCAGACTCGGTTAGTGACAGTTTGCTTCTGTGATAAACTCATAAGAAATCTGCAGGAACTGATTGTTTGGGATAGTCAACTTGACAGTTTGGGCTTAGGCTGACCCAGGCTTGTTCCTCACCTTTTTGGCGATGCTAGACTGACTCTGATTGGTTTACGCCCTATGCCGGTCATGTGCTGCATCTCGATGAGAGCCCTCTGCTGGTCAGTTTCCTCAGAGAAGCGGACAAACCCATAGCCCTTTGTAGCACCAGTTGAATCGAGAACAACTGAAGACACAAATACATACTGACTGATATCAAGACTCCAGTACCACACAGCCAACAACATGAAATGCTGACTTAATATTTCCTGAAAACTGAGACATTGGTCAAGGAAGATGAGCAGACTCCTTAACACTTTATGAGCCTGGGCATTTCTAAAAAAATATTTAAAAAAACTGTTCGTAAATAACATTTTCTACTGGTAAGCCAGGATAAGTTGAGTTGTCACCTGACAATAAATCCCATAAAACTATGTATGAGGTCCGCCCACTGGCGAAGAAAGGGGTAGCCGGTGATCCGTGACAAGTAGAACGATGGATATGTGCGTGTCCTGTCTCGGCTAACAACTCGTCACACGGATCTCTTTATAGTCTTATGAGCAACATGTGTCCACGGAAGCGTAGTCAATATCATCGTCATGACTTGCACATACACCACATGTGTGACTCCTCTACCTGTAACAAACCAAATATGTTTGCCCAAATTCTGTGCACTGCCTACTCAAATGTTTTGCGAGTTGGTTCAACATTGAACAGGGGACTGAAGTGTAGTGCAACTCGGTGCATGGAATGCAATGGAGTGTTACGCTGTGTACGGGATGCGATGGAGTGTTACGCTGTGTACGGGATGCGATGGAGTGTTACATGGTGTACGGGATGCGATGGAGTGTTACGCTGTGTACGCTGTGTACGGGATGCGATGGAGTGTTACACTGTGTACAGGATGCGATGGAGTGTTACACTGTGTATGGGATGCGATGGAGTGTTACACTGTGTACGGGATGCGATGGAGTGTTACGCTGTGTACGCTGTGTACGCTGTGTACGGGATGCGATGGAGTGTTACACTGTATATGGGATGTGATGGAGTGATACACTGTTTTCGGGATGCAATGGAGTGTTACGCTGTGTACGCTGTGTACGGGATGCGATGGAGGGTTACTCTGTGTATGGGATGTGATGGAGTGTTACACTGTTTACGGGATGCGATGGAGTGTGACCCTGTGTACGGGATGCGATGGAGTGTTACACTGTGTACGGGATGCGATGGAGTGTTACGCTGTGTATGCTGTGTACAGGATGCAATGGAGTGTTACGCTGTGTACAGGATGCGATGGAGTATTACACTGTGTACGGGATGAGATGGAGTGTGACCCTGTGTACGGGGTGCGATGGAGAGTTACACTGTGTACGGGATGCAATGGAGTGTTACACTGTGCATTGGATGCGATGGAGTGTTACGTTGTGTACGGGATGCGATGTAGTGTTACGCTGTGTACGGGATGCAATGGAGCGTTACACTGTGTACGGGATGCGATGGAGTGTTACGCTGTGTACGGGATGCGATGGAGTGTTACACTGTGTACGGGATGCGATGGAGTGTTACGCTGTGTACGCTGTGTACGGGATGCGATGGAGTGTTACACTGTGTACGGGATGCGATGGAGTATTACACTGTGTACGGGATGCGATGGAGTGTTACACTGTGTACGCTGTGTACGGGATGCGATGGAGTGTTACACTGTGTATGGGATGCAATGGAGTGTTACACTGTGTACGGGATGCGATGGAGTGTTACGCTGTGTACGGGATGCGATGGAGTGTGAAGCTGTGTACGGGAAGCGATGGAATGTTAAACTGTGCACATGCTACTGTGGAGCGTGACACAGACATTCGTCAAAGCACCACGTCAACTCAACACATGCACTGTAAATGTCAAATCCTAAATTAGGTTTGTTTGCTGTTTTAAAGCTGCACTCAGCAATATTCCAGCTACATGACGGTGGTCTGTAAATAGTCCAGTCTGGACCAGATAATCCAGTGATTGACATCATGAGCATCAATCTACTCAATTGTGATCTGATGACATGCATCCACCAAGTCAGCGAGTCTGACTATCCGATCCCGTTAGTCACCATTTATGACAAGCATGGGTAGCTGAAGACCAATTCTAACCCAGATAGATATACCACAGGTCCTAAATTAGGGAGCTTTCCACTCCTTCTGTTGTTATCTACTGCATGGATTATATAGCCAGGTGGGTTCTGATGTTTAAGTCTATTTAGCAGTACACAACTGCTCTCAGTTATGAGTTCACCCTTACCTTTGGCAGCTCTGACAGATCTGTACCTCCTGGCGAAGGCATTGTACAGCTGATAGTCATCCACATCACTTGACAAATCACCAACAAACAAGGAAAACTCGGGTCTGCAATGGAAAGTCAATACAGATTCAAAAATCACAAACGTTTCATGTTCTGCTCTGTTACATACACAGATCAACAAAAGAAACGCATTTAAGGATGTCTGCTGGATTGTTTTGAGTTCACTGCACATGCCCACATGCTGTAGTCGAGTGCTTTAGTTCATGCTGAAGTCAGTCAAACACAGTTTTGAATCAATGCAGCTGAGAAACCTTCACTAAAAAACACATCGTCAAAGACAAAGCATCATATATGAAACAAAAAGTGAATTAATTCGAATTTAAGGACAAGTCAAGCAGTGCTTTCTGATGAAGAGAATTGGAGTAGCACCATTCTACAAACTAAGACAATCCAATACTGTAAATCTGGTTGCCTGACATAATAACACTGCATGTTGTTATCGAACTGTATTTCTTATTGATATTTCTTTTTCCAGGTAAACATGGACATATATAATCACATTGTACAATGGATTAATAATAAGGCTAAGTTCATATCAAATTTGTATAACAGATAATTTAGATATGTTAAATGTATAGACTTTGTAAGTGCACTTCTAAAGATAAATCAGTGGATCTATGCAATGGTTACTTTTATTACAACAAAATAAACATAACATTGACCTTTGTACCACGATAACAGAAATAGAAGATAGTTATTGAAACATAAAAATGACATAAAAACAGAATTTCATGAATGTGGTGTATTGAAAAAGCAGTGAACTGTATAATGTTCTCATGGTTATTCGAAATTGAGGGAAATACAATATGCAAATGTTCCAAGAAATGAGGGTTTTGCAATGTTTGTAAAAAAGGTTTTGTTGAGGATGAGTATCATTTCTTGTTTGTATGCACGGTGTATGCCGAATTGCATGAACAGTACCTTCCGAGAAACTACTATGTATTTCCAACATTACATGAATTCAATGTCTTGATGTTAAGCCACTAATCTGTATACTGAGATATGTAAAAACCTTTGAGAAATGAGATCTTGCTAAAAATCCTCTGACAACCCAGATTTTGAACATTTTTTATTCAAAGATTTCAAAGACTGAACATCATTCGTCATCAAGTCATGTCAGGTGATGGTCAAGGGGAGATAACTTCTGAGCTGATATTGAATTCATACAAGCATAACTTCAGCAATGTGAAACTTGTCAACTCACAAGGTTTTCCAAGAAACAATATATTTAAATTTACTACAAAGAAACATGCTGCAACAAGTTAGGCAGAGTAATATTACATCATAATAAACATATCTAGACAGAGCCCTCTACTTACAATAACATGTGTTCTTTTCCATAACTAGCTGGGTTTAGCTTGAACCGTCTTGGCTGAAAAAAACCCACTTATGTATCAATAATGTGCATTAAAAAAAAAAGCCATAAAGCATTTTTGACATGAACAAAGAAGACTGAAAGAAATGTTCTGCTTGAATGACAAGGCAAGAGTTACCTCCCCCTCATCACTTCCAACAGTTAAACGACACAACAAAAAAGAAAAATGCTCTTAAAATGCTTATTCCATGTTTGGGAAACTTCTTTAAACAAGTAACAGATGCAAAAAGCCAATTAAAGGCAAAGCCAAGCATGGAAACAACTACAGGACAAAGAAGGTGCATTTTGTAATTGGGCAAATCATGTTCAGGAATTGTGTAATTTTGTTTCAAATATACGGCCAAATGAGAGAAACATTGTTGTCATACTTCTACCCTCAGTATCATCGATCACCTATCTGAGTGAACAAATTTTTAAGGGTGCTTCAAAAAGGGCAGTGCACCCCAGCACCCCCATCTGGATCTGTGTGGGTAAAGCCCTGGGGCTACTTCAGGGATGTGAGCAGGTTTTCCCGAAAAAAGAGGAAAACTCTTGCCCCCCCGCAAGAAATGTAAAAAGTCAATAAGTCAAATAAATAAAGATGGCGGATGCAGTAAAATTTCATGGTTAAATCAGTACATTTAAAAAATTGGGCGACGGTTGTCCGGTTTTCGATAACATTTTTCAGAGTGTTTTTTTTTAAATCTTTGATCATAATATATTTTTACGCGGAAGATGATTTTTTCCAAGGACTACTGTTTTAAATAACACGATTTTCCGCATTTCTGTGGAAATTTCACATTCCTGTACTTACAGGGTTGCTCCCAGGGATGATCTTCCCATTGAGTTTCAACATGGCCCTGTTGGCTGCCTCTGCATCACCAAACTCAACAAAGCAATATCCAGCCAAGGCACTGAAAAATAGAATATTACATAGCAATGAGGCAGCCACGGTGAAACCAAATGTGACAGCAAGGCTCCTTTAAAAATATTTCATACAAAATGTGATTTATTTGACATTAGAAACACACAAACCCTTACACATACAATGATATCTCACTCTTAAACTTGTGTAAGTGATGTAGGACATTGCAGGTCTTAGGCATCTATCTCTCCAGTGAAACCCCCACACACAGGTGTATCATCATGGTGCTGAAAATCCTGTGAGACTTCCCCACATAAACATATATATATATGCTTAAAGGATTGAGGGGCAATGCATACATATATAACTTTTGGAGGAGGGATACAGGAGTAAGTCTTTCCGAAAATCCAAGAAACATTCATGACGATTCTGAGATTCGAATTCATGATCATAAATTTCTGGCACGCCTAATAATAATATCAACATAAAATTAACATATGTGAACAAAAATCTGAAACTTGTATTGAATAAAAGATAGACTAAAAACACCATTGTACACTTAATATGTTGAACACAGTAATACACACTTTCTATTTACAGTGATTCGCATGTATCATCACATCCGAATCCGTATTTTACAAACACTATTTAGAAAAGCCTTTCAGCTTATAAAACATTTTAGAAGTTAAAAACAACACTTACGCACATATTTCATTCATTCATTCATTCATTCATTCATTCATTCATTCATTCATTCTTTCATTCACAAGAAGTGATATAATTTATTTTAGTGATATGACTGTTTACTTCACTGTATGAAGATTAAAAAAATAAGATAGAAACTTTTATATTATATACATTTAGTTTACTTAAAAAAACCCACTTTAAACATACTGTATTAATTTAATACAACGTAAAGATTATGGACATTTCACTAATCTGATTATGATAATAATCAAGGATTAAGATGGCAACTTTACCCTTTGCTGATCTGAGCAGTACTGTCATGTGCAGTATGCAGGTTGATCAAAACATGCAGTTTAACAATAGGTAAACTCAGGTGCTAGCTTGACCAATCAGTACATGGAGCTTCTGGACATGGGACAGTTTGCAGGTTACACAGAAGGACAGATACACTGTGTAACAGCTGGCTGATTAAGCCATCTTCCCGAGGCAAGGGAGATAATGGGCGTCGCCATTTTGTTTGAAGTGACATGAGAGGTGGATCTCATTGGTCAATAGGAGGGACATAGAAGGGACATTAAATTCCAGCCTAGTTAGGCAAGGGTGGAAACTGGACTTTTACAGTCAGTTAACTCCCTTTCCTCAGGAAAGAATGAAAAAACTAAATGAAACTAGCAACTGATTACTAGCAACTGCATATCTGATAAATATATGTAAAATAACAGGAATGAAATTGAAACAACTATATACAAAAAGTACATCAGCCAGATTAGACTTACCTTGTGTTCTTGTGTTTGATGAGTTTCACATGCAGCACATTTTCTCCCAGCTGTTGAAATGCCCCACTGATAAACAATTCATCCATGTATGTATCCAGCTGCAAAATATGTGAAAATGCATACATTGCACAATAGAATAGGAAATGTCAGAATGTGTGTTGTTCAACATATTTCACACGCTCAGGCAGTGAGTAAGTGTGTTGGTTTTAACACCGCTTTGAACAGTATTTCAGTTATATCACAGCGTGTCAGCTTAATGGAAGGAAAGACCAAAGTGATACAGGTTTCAGATGTTTATCACTTTGGTGAAACCCACGAGCACAGGTTTGGTGCTGACAAACCTAGAAATATAATGGGGTGCCCCAGGATTCGAACCCACAATCTGGCTTACCTAAGGGATGCAACTCTGCATAGTGATTTACGGTGCCTCAGACAACTGGGCCACCTGTGGCCCCTACACTCAGGTTCATAACCACTGATGACTAACAGCCTAAAATCACATAATTGATATATTTTATTTTGAAGTATAACAATGATATCTGTCGATCCCAGTGAGTGTATGACTTTCAAAATAAAATATATATTATTGAAGATATTAATAGGGTGAGTGTGTTGGGTTTAAAGCCTATATGAACAGTATTTCAGCTATATCTTGGCAGTATTACTCTGGTAGGAAAGCATGATAGTGATGCATATCCTTGATGTTAACCACTTTGGTGAAATCAGCGAGCATGGGTTTGTACTTGATGTAACCAATGATAATAGGATTATTGCACTGTTAAGGGACACAACACTGCACAGTGAACTGCTGCACTTTAGACCACTGGGCCTAGATTTTCGAAACGATCTTAGCTAAGATAAATCTTAACAACTTACGTTTAAAGATAAGATATCTTAAGGTTAAGATAAGATAGATTCCCACAAGCAGGTTTTTATAACAATCTAAGCTTGTAAGGTTTGTTTTGTTACTTATGTATTCAATATATTTCACGAATTAACCAAGGACTTAAATTCAATATCAAGCTATTAGTATTTAGATGATGAAATTATTTTTTTATCTATCTAGATCCATAATTATTTTCAAAATTTAAAAGTGACTCTAATTTTCGTTCGCAAAGAGAGATAATTTAGGAATTGTCAAGTTATGTTGTCTTATGGAACGCCACAAGTTAACGTGAACATACATATGTAGTCATTTTCTATCCTTTTAAATTAAGTAGAGCTAATAAACTGATTTGTCTGATTTCATTTAAATCTGGCTGAGGAGCGAAATACTTTGTAATGTGTCAAATCTATTCCAGAATGTAGTTCAATGATGTTTGGCTTGTCTGAAGGAATTGCTGAGGATCATTTACTAGTATTTTTCCGAAGACCCTATACAACGATTTTATTGTCTGAATGATCTCAAGTATATAGATAGATATAATTTAAACATAAAACGGGAAGATGTAGTCTTAAATATTAAAAAGACCAAAATATTTTAAAACCGGTTTATTGAATGCAAAGATTATTGTGTTGAAAATGTGTATTTTATATTGATCAGTAAATTTCATTCAATAAACTTTTTTTCTGCGAACATATATTGGAAAGTGAATTTTGGACCTGTTTTTAAAGAACGCAATTGTTCAACAGACTCTTTAATCACTTTTTATCAAGAGGATATAGATAACATAGGTATTGAATTTAAAACGAAACAAATTACAATTACTGTTGCAAGAAAAATATTGAATATTGTATAGAAATATTTGACCACATGTATTTCCTTGTTAAGTTAATAAATACTACACTGTTTAGTTAAAATTCAATTATTAAAACCACCCGTCCCACACGATTTTAGATGTAAAAAACTTATGCGAAACCTTTATGGGTTTTTTTTCATATGTAGAGTCATATCATTTTATAAAATGTGAAATAAAGACTAAAGCATTGACACAAATGCGATCCAGAAAATATAACAGCGGAACTCTGCGCTTTATGAAAACTGTAACATAGAGCAAGGTGTCCCAGGCGAATACAAAGGGAAACCACTCTCAACTAGAGTTTGAACTAAGATTAGCTCCCCCTGAGTTATCAATAAGGTCACGGTCATTACTGTTGCCTGCCGACACCTTCTGTTTTTATCCTTCCCAAATTATCGAAAAGGTATGTTGTTTTACACTTCTTCAGCATGGACTCGGATAGAAAAATATTGTAAGCTATCGACTCCACAGTTATGTGGATCGCTGTCGCGATTAAGAACATTTTTGACGTGAAATCCTTGATGCTTTATTCGTGTTTTCGAAGTCTCAATTTGAATCACTCAGTTTTACAAAATGAAATGTCAATGTTTAAACATAAAGCAGACTTATTGTTTGGCAAAATATCTATGGAAAAGTATGCCGCCATCTTGGATGAAGATAAAATAAACTTAAGACAGGTATGGGGCTATCTTAGATTTACGACAATCTTAAGATATCTTAGAGCTACGATAGTTCCGAAAATATGCTACGATAGCCTACGATTTCCTTACGATAAATTTACTATAATTTTAGGGCTACGATCGTTTCGAAAATCTAGGCCCTGGGTTACATATGCCCCCAAAGATATCTATGAATATTAGAGGCTTACAGGGGAGCTGCTGTAACCTCTTTGGGCCTGGCTTCTTGCTGTGATTCAAATATCCAATAATGAAGACAGGAAAATGTGCATTAAATAGGGCCTAGTTCTGTGACATCTTATTTATTAAATATCCCAAACTACTTGAGCTGATCCATGCTACAAACATCACCATAAACACATGCAAGTTAAGTGCTTGACACTTTTGTTGGTTGTTCCCCATACAGTTGACCGAAAACATGGTGTTAACTGCTGAGCCCAGAAAATGGACTAAAAACAATTTGAATTTGTAGCCTTGTCGGCTAGTGTACATTTGTAAGTCACAAAGTTCTAAATCTACAGTGAATGATATCTAAATGAAATTATTTCAAGAGATCATTTTGTTCCAGGTCCTTTTATTTCCAGTTTCAATATCTTGGATTTAAATAAGTTGATTGGACTGCTTAGTGCTTGTACTATGATACTGGTACTATCATATCTAAAGTATTATTCATTTTGCGTCTATAAAATTGTCATTCACAGAGTGCCACCATATGCTGGCTCGTCATTGTCATCAGCTGTTTTGGGGTGCTTTTCACCAAATGAAATGGTTGCGAGGTGAAACATGCATGTGGTTAAGAGTTTAGTAATCAGTCTTTGACAAAGTACACACGTCACCCATCCACAGCGAACTGCTGAGTGCCATACTGCACTGGTAAATTCTTGAAAACAGCAATTTCTTGAAACCGGAAACGTGGTATAATCAGATCTCTTTAGTTGAAGAGTTCTACACCAGAAATGGTGACGTTTTATAATATGAGCAATGACGCATTAATCTTCTTATTATGAAACAAATAACACAATAGCCTGATCTAAAAACCAATTCTTTGATTATTTTGTAATGAACAGCTGATGACATTATCTATTGATACTGCAACTATAATAATAATAATGTTTGCCAACGAGGCACCCAAACAGTTACCTCCCTTGAATTAAACTCAAACTGATGACGACACATAACTTGGTCGAGCACATGGCCGAAATGGAAAGCAAGGAGTTAGAAGTTGTGGTGGGAACGTACGAGGAACTTATTCTTGGCTATCGTTTATCACTCGAACCTGATGTATGCATTTGTTTGGTCTATACGACTATACTGCTTGTCTCAATGCGACCTCGAGCGCTTTCTGTTCATGTCCAAATTCCACGTTATGAAGTCGTTTTGGGGTTTCTTGCTCCGCTGTTAAGCACTTGTTGATTCAATTCAGTGTTTTTACCTGATTGTAAATGTAATTATAATTCGAATCCTTTACATTGAAGTTCTACATTAATGTTAACTGAAAATGTAAACACTATCGCTACCGGAATAGCATAGCTATCTCGGACATAATTTAAGAGTCAAACTTTTAAGTGCATACCGTACTTGTGGAACAGACAAGGCGAGCATCCTCTGAGTTGAGCTTGGCTATATAACTTCTAATTTCTTCCAGTATGATGTCAAAACTATATATCCTTACCCTTTGAGCCCCTTTGAGTGTGAGTTATAATGTTAAGTTACATCAGCGGTATATCCGCCATATTGTGACATGCACACCTTTTGCAGATTCCCACAGTACTACCTGGACCTGTGGTTAGTCAGTCATGTGATATATTGTTTAATGGCATAAACTCACTATAGCTCAGTGATTACACTACAAGTGGCTAATGTTCGCATTTCTTTCTGACAATGCACACATTCCTTTTAGATTGTATATGTTGAGTAAAGATAATATTTCAGTCAAGTTCAGTGTACTTATGATCTGATACATAGTTTTTGCCAGGGCTGCAGTAAAACAATTTCCAGTCAGACATTTTGTTCCCAGCTCTTGAGATCTACAGTGGGTACCCTAGTAGGGTCGGGCAAATTTGTAAAATTTGGACCCAGCCCTACTAGAAATATTATGTTTAAAACAGTTAGATGGGTCCTCTGACCCTATATATGAGGTATATTTCTGAAAGTACTTTGTCATTTTCAGTTGAAGACTGGACAGGTGACACCTTGAAATTCAAATCAATCTAGTTGCTTGTTTATAGGGCATTCATTGCTCATAATTTGTCAAGGTGGTCCAGGCACAAAATGTGCTTATGAATCGCACTTTATAATTAACTCTTAAATATATTTTTCCTGCATAATAATATTTTCAGGCATGTTGCATTGCATAGAATAAAAATAAGTTTATTTTTTCAGAATCATGCATTCAGCCAGAGCTTCACAAACCATTCCCACAGTGGGTGCATCAAGGCACTGGCACTGTCCACAAAGGGTATTTTGGCTTCTGGGGGCACTGATGAAATGGTCCGTGTGTTTAACTTAAGGAAAGGAACAGAGATCGGTTCACTTGTACATCATTCAGGTAAAAAAATGACTGAAATTTGCATCATGAGTGCAAGAGTACTGATTGTGTATCATTGGACCCTGATAACCTGGATTGTTGCCAGTTCATCTGGACCAGACAATTGTTTCAGGTCCATCTGCTGCTCACTGCAGTGTAAAATTATATTCATTCACTCACAAAGTATAGGGACTGTAGCAGTGTGGGTACTAGGCCTGGGTATTGGGGTGCCCTTTTGATACAATATCTGATTTGTTGACACAGTATTTCTGGTGTTACATGCTCACGGTAACATCTTTGCGTATGGAAAACACATAAAAATTCATTGTATGCATGTGCTGGGTGCACTGCCTCTACACAACTGTATTTTAAAAATATGATGCTGTATTTATTAACTGATGGTGTTTGTAAAATAAATGTTAATTTATCTGATACACACAAGACTGTATTGGTTTATCGTATCAGCATCAACATGATCAAGAATCAATGTCTACTGATATATTGATCCACACCTAGTGGGTAACCTCAGGTGTGTTGATCTAGCTGGTTTAATCTTTTGTGATATAGCTTGAATCTTCCTGAGGCGATAAGGCACAAATAATTGTTTCTGGTTTCTACCCTAATCTGTAGCTGTCGTCACTACAGATCTTTTCTTGATGTTCTCGGGTTGCACTAGATCTTTCCATATTTTGTGCCACAACCGTAATGTGTTACACTTCACCATGTTTACTATTGATAAACCAATCATTATCTCCAAGACAAGACAAAGTTGGCCAACCAGGACAAGGCTAGTATGGGCATGTGGTGGCAGGTGTGTGTTTTATATGTCAGAGCTTGAGTTTTCACCAGTAATATCAGATAAGGAAAATTGTCCAGTATGTTAATTACAATTTTTGTTTGAAGGTACTATTACCTGGCTAGATTTCTACAAGAACTCCCACCTGTTCAGCACTTCAGAGGACCACAAAATGTGTCTGTGGAAGACATTCTCCTGGGAGTGTCTTCGAACATTCAAAGGTCACAAGTGAGTTCTTCCGAGCGTTTTCATTCAGATAGTATTGTTCCAAATATGTTATCTTCTGAAATTGTGTCCGACATACCAAAAGAACTTGACTGACTCATGTGTTCTCCACTGTTTTGTCTGCGTCGTGGGATCTGTGGCAGAGCAGGCCACCAGCTTCTCATGCTTGTAACTGGTAACAGATGTATAAAAAATGCTTTTTGGGGGAAATATTTGTTGCAGATTTGTCTTACTCGGATGGGGATCATGTATTTTTCAATGGGTACTTTACCGACTACGTGATCTAGTGGATAGACCTAGGGTGGTTCCATCCCCTGGCTGCGTCATACCAAAGAGACGTTGAGATCGTACTAGTCTTTACCGGGCCTGGTGTTCAGTGTTATGGGTATGAAAGGGACTGGCTGGCTTGCAGTCAGTATGTTATCTGAGTGGGTTATTCTTGTCAAAACTGTAGCATGGTAGCTCAGTGGGTTAGCACTATTAACTGGCAGTAGTACTGGACTAGTACGAAAACACGAATGCACTTGCATGTTACTGTATAACTCTTACAATAATCTTGAACTTGACATTAAACCCCATTCCTCCTCACCTTTTTGACTAGAATTGATTATCTACAGGCTGTTATGTTGTTCCTTACTGATCATGCTGATTAGTAAGCTCTTGCGTCGAACAGGATGCTGGGGAGCTTTTTATCCACAGGGTTGATAGAGGTTATCATGCGAGTTTGTTTGGGGATGGTAAATATCCTGCATTAGGAATAAACATTGTATTTAGTGAACCTTGGCGAGCTAAATACATAGTGTTTATTCATAATACAGGATATTTACCATCCCAAAACACACAAGCGTGATAACCTCTTTATCATATAATGTCATTCTTTAATTCTGTGCTTTCAAAATCGCTTTTCCTCTCACAAACATTACCGAAACATTGTGAGTTTTCCTGGAATGCGCGCATTAATATTTATTACGTCACAGGGTAAGTGATGTGTCATTCGGACAGTGACAGTAGCCAATATAGTTCCAACTGAAATCTGTTTCTTATACAGTGGCGAAGCAACATATACGCAAAACAACAATTGTTTTTAATTGCCTTTCACGGCACTCCATCGGTCTGTCCGCTAGAGTAATTGCCCTTTGTCAAAGGGAAGCTACTCTAACCCTGGTCTATGAGACGTCACGGCCACAGTCAGACGTTGTTGACAGTCGGTCTGTCCTGTCATAACGTTAAGAAGTGTAGTCAGATGTGCACACAGCGACAAAACGAAACAAGGTTACAATTCAGACATATTTCGGCCAAATTCAACTATTTAGATTTGTTGAGAAGGTTTCAAGCCGCAGAGGTCTACAAGCACAGATATGGCTACTGATCCTGCTTGGCTAGGCCTCATGCCCTCGCAAAATTGTTTCGAAATTTATATCTCCAAAGTTGCCCAAACTTATAAAATGCCTTAGATACGTCACAGTTAGACACTGATTTTCAGAATATTAGACTGTTCTTTTGATAATGATAGCAATTATCCCTGTAGTTTATCCAGATTCCCGATGGTTAATTCTGACTCGATCGCCGAATGACGAGGGCAACGCCATGTTTAATTATAAACCGTGAAAGTAGTCCCAACTTGACCTTAGATATTTGCATCTCTATCCTCATATGGCCCCAACGGATATTGTTTTTATCCGTTGGCTTTATCCTGCCGAGAAATCTACCCATTATATGATAAATGTGTGATATTGGTTCTCCCAAGCACCTACAACTTAATCTGAAACATGACACACCAAATTATAAGTGATATAGAAAGCCTTAAATTCAACTAGTCCTTGGGATGTCTGTAGGAATAGTGCCAGTTTAAATCCCTGGAAGTGATTGTTGAATGCGATTGTGGTTTCTGCTGTTCCCAGGGATGCAGTTAACTGTGTCGCTGTCCATCCCTCAGGCAAGCTGGCTCTGACAGTTGGGAAGGATCGCTCACTTCACACCTGGAATCTCGTCCGAGGAAGGTCAGCTTATATCACAAATATCAAACAAGGTTTGTTGTAAAAGATGTAGAGTGGTTTTTTTTGTGATACAGCTAGCACAGCTTGCAACTTAAGTCAAATGTTATATATTTTGGTCCAGTAAACTCAGATCACATCACTACCCATACTAAGACTAAAGTTTGTTGAAAATTTTGCAAAGATATTTGGCCTGGTAGATCAGAAATTGCTGGGCCTTATCCTACAAAGCGTAACTCCGACACTTTTATATATGCTTACAGCAGCCATTGTGCTGAGATTGTTTTGTGTAATGGAGCCTATTTCTTAAGCAGTAAAGTAATGGTACAGTTTGTTTACCTTAGGACCTTGTGTCAAGAACTCTAAATTGTGTTCATGTCAAATCTGCTGCTTTTGTTTGTCCTGAGTTATATTTTGAATGTTTTCTGATATACTTCTATTATTTCCATTCAATACATGATGTCACAAATTAGGTTAATTTTGTTTTTCAGCGGCTGATATAGTGTTATGGTCACCCGATGGAACAACTTTTCTCATTGTGTTCAGCAACAGAATTGACGTTTATAAGACCGAGGTATGTACATTCAGTTCTGTATTAGTCAAAACTTTGTGACAGGAACTAGAATTGAGTTGTCTCCCCATTACCTTCATATACTATTCTACATGTGATAGGGATGGTCTGAGTGTCCAAGTGGGGGATAAATCTGACTGGATGTCGTACCATTAGAATGTTATTTGGGCTGGACCGAACACATGTTAAACTTCATTTATGCTGTTGTCTCCTGACTTTCGTTAGAGTGTGAGCTAGTGTCCCTATCAGGAGTTGAGTAGAATTGTTCAGACTCGCACATTTAAGTGAACTTAGGACTTATTGTCATTTTTTGAGAGAAGTGAGGCCTGCATGCAACAAAGATTATCTCCTTCCCAATAAGTGTCTCAAAACAAACACCCACTGTTTGTACTATGTGACATCTATTGCGATATTGCAGAAATCTTCGTAAACTTGCTGTATGCTCCCATGTTTACTTCTGTTTATTATGACTTGAAATTAAGCTTGCCCATGCCCAAATTGCATCCTATTCGTACTCCAACATCTCTGAACATCCAGTCAGCATGATCCGACTTCTCTCCCGCCTCGAAACTCAGAATATCCCTATCAAATGTTTTGTGGTATATGTTGGTATCATGATCGTGTGTGTATAAACAAGTTCCTCAGATGTTTTGTATGAATTCATGAAAACATTCTGTTTGTCCTTCCAGACGTCCTCTGTTTATCACAGTGTCAGTGTAGACAGGCGGGTGAATGCTGTAGTGTTCCTACGGGTGAGTCATCTTTAGCTGTTGGATGGATCCCTGTGAAGATCAGGTTAAAATTAGCTTTCAGCAACCCATGCTTGTCATTAGAGTGGTCAGACTCGCTGACTTGCCTGACGCATGACTGTATTCCAAAAGTGTAGATCAGTGCTCATGATGTCAATCACTGGACTGTCTGGTTCAGACTCGATTGTTTGCAGCCTGACGTCATATAGCTGGAATATTGCTGAGTACAGCGTTAAACAAAGTGATTGGATGGAACAAATCTTCTGTGATTTCGGATAGAAATATTCGGGAACACCAATACATAACTCAATGGGCATAGTCACCTAACTGGTGTAAGTCAATATGTTGGAGCAATCAAGTATGCTGATCTTTGTGTTTGTTTTTTGTTTAACACCGCACTCAGCAATATTCCAGGTGTGTGAAGGCGGTCTGTAAATAATTGAGTCTGGACCAGACAATCCAGTGATTGTCATCATGAGCATTGATTCTCGCAATTGGGATACGATGACATGCATCAACCAAGTCAGCGAGCCTGACCACTCGATCCCATTAGTCGCCTCTTACGCTGATCTTTGTGAAGATGTACAATTGAAGCAGATCCACGTGAATGTTACCCTATCATTGAAGCAAAGAGCCTATTAACACTTGACTTCAAGGCATCTTGGTATATACACATGGTATCTTAATGATAGATGCCATGTATGAAACACGTGATGTCAGTAAGACACTTTAAGTAATTGACAATGCATGAACTTCCTATTCACTTACATGACCCCCATGGACTTTTCACAAAGGGATTACAAATTGAGCATGGTGCACCCTGTAGATGTTTGTGGCAGAATTAGTTCCCAGGTATTTTGTAACAAGAAATTTAGCTGCACTAACTAAGCCGGCGTTGGGTCTATATGTTGGGCACAGGGTGGTACACGGTGCATAGAGAAACACACAGTGGGTAAAAGACTTCTTGACAGATGATAGGTTGTCTTCACTGTTGTGGACATTCAAACTGTTACTTTGGTCATTTGAAACAATCCAGGTTCTGTTGGTTTTGTTGATAACATGTTGCCCTTCCTGTCCAGTAATGGCTCCCTGCGTAAAGTGTGTTTGTTGGACCTCCAATCATGTTAAACTTTGGTCTAGCTGCTAGGATATGGTAACCATGGTAACATGAAGAAAATAAGAAATATTTTCTGTTATCCAGGTAATACTTTCATTCGACGTCTTAATCCTATATAGGAGATAAATGAATAACCAGTATCACTTTTAACCTTCAACCAGATCACCATGACATGGCTAGACAGTGGATATTATACCCGGTAACCAAGACTTGTATGGAAGGACATGGATTCTTTTCCGATTCTCAGATCTCGGGCTTATTTCCTTTTTGTGGTAGATTTTTCTGTGACATGTCCACAAATGTAATGAAGTTTGATTTGTATGAATGTCCAAATCCTAAAGATTAAAGCTTAACTTTATAGATGGATGATCCCAGGCACAGGAAGAAAATGCTTACCTTGATATCACATCAGCATACCATGTGTCAATGAACCCATCACACACTTGACATTATGTAACAGTTGTAATTGTTCAATTCTACCAGGGTCGGTCGGGTAGCCTAGTGGTTAAAGCTTTTCATCACGCTGAAGACCCGGGTTCGATTCCCGACATGGGCACAATATGTGAAGCCCATTTCTGGTGTCCCCCGGCCGTGATATTGCTGGAATACTGCTAAAAGCGGCATGAAACCATTCTCACTCAATTATACAAAGAATTGGACAATCACGACATTTAACAGAAACACCATGACCAAAAACAAAATGATAATCATGATTGACAGGATTCCAGACAAAACATGCTGACCTTATCACAAATGATTCATTCGGTGATGTGAAAGTTACCTGCACTAACTAAGCCGGCGTTGTGTCTATATGTTGGGCACAGGGTGGTACACGGTGCACAGAGAAACACATAACGGATAAAAGACTTCTTGACAGATGATGGGTTGTCTTCTCTATTGTGGACAAAAAATAAAACAAAGTGTTTATTAACAATGTTTATTTACAAACATTGTAGCTACATCAGTGGTTTTCACTGCACAAGTTGAATGGCTTTCATGAAACAACAAATGACAAGAATGAAACTTACGGTCTCCCTTGATGACATCACATCTGGGCCATTACAATATAAGACCACAGTTATGAGGCTGGCCATTAGAGCAAAACACTGCCGACTGTCTTTCAGCCAAAATTGACTTTTGGTACATGTTCAAAGATACTATTAACATGGTTAATACATGGACCATCATTATTTGAGCTTATTGGACAGGAAGATACAATCCTTGCCTAAAAATTAGAGTGTCCATTTATGATGCTAAAAACCACTTTGATTCCCTCCATGGGTACAATGAGTGAAGGCCATTTTTATGTCTTCCAGCCTGCCAACAGAGCTCCAGATAAGCTTTTGGTGTTGTGGGTATTTTACCCATGCATTTTAAAATCATTGGGTATCAGTAATTCTATCTGGGTATTCAAATTTCTGTTACCCACTAGTTTTTACACATGTGGGTATTTAAGTTAAATATTTAAAAACACTATTCATCGAGTCCCTGCAAACTGGTGTCGTGTGGGTTCAAGAGCTTTATAGGACTCAAAAAATACCACGATACATCCACAAGAAAGTGTGAAGGCAAATGATCATGATGTAACTCTCATTGTGGGGTTTGGCAAGGTTGACGGAATGCCTGTTTATAATTTCAAAATAAGTTGCTGATTTGCTAATTGAATACGCAGGGTTACTTCACAATATTTTGATGATACACACAAGTTTTATTTTTGTAGCGTGTCTGTAATGTTCGTTGCGTATTTGATACGCTTGGATTTTAAAATACTGCATATTTCTGCATTTTTGATGCGTATTTTACGTAGATACGCAGCTTATCTGGAGCTCTGGCCAATATGTAGCTGGAATATTGCTAAAAGTAGCATAAAACCGTGCTCACTTATTTACTCAAAACAACACTTCAGCTACAGACTTTTTACTCCTTCATATTTAAAGAACTTATTCTTGACAATTCCTGTTTAAAACTTGCTGTCCTGTTCATCAATGATTCAGGATACCTGCACTAACTAAGCCGGCGTTGTGTCTATATGTTGGGCACAGGGTGGTACACGGTGCACAGAGAAACACACAACGGATAAAAGACTTCTGGACAGATGAAAGATCGTTATTACTGTTGTGGACAGAATCCTTGAGCAGTTATTTCCCAAAAAAACTATCTTGATCAGGTTGTCAAATCAAACTTTTCGCAGTTATTCTGTACCTTTTTTAGGACTGTCCTTGTCTTGAGGCCATAATTAATTTGTTACCGTAATTAGATTTTCATCTCCGCCTGCCTCGCAATCATATATCTGACCTTACATCAGTTTTTTTATCCTCATGCTGCTGCAGACAAAATTGCTGTTTGGGTGGGGTTGGGAGTGTGGGTGGTTGGGTGTGAGCGCAGCTACCAAATAGTCTTGCTTCAGAAATATATTAAGATATTAAGCTTCATAGACATACATGTCATATGACAAAAATAGTTTGATGATAATCTAATCATTAATTTGTGCCCTAAAGCAGCATTAGAATTTTGTTAAAATAATAGAACTTCATTAGCTATGTAAGCTAGTCGTCACAACCCATGATTCTGGGTCTTGATTGTTCCCTGGGCACCCGATGTTGGTCTAAAAGGATTTAGAGGAGCATCAGAAGATCCCAATATGTGACCTGGCAGATTGTTAGTCATATGAAAGTAGTGATTTGTTTAGCTACCTACATGATTGTACGTGTTTCAGTCGAACCTGATTGCATACGGAGGAGAGGGTGGGGACATCGTCGTCTACAACATCAAGGATGAGAAGGAGATGCAGCGTATCAACACCGACACCGTCAGGTACACGGAGATGCAGCATGAGACCGACAAGTTGTCATGTGATTTTCTTGTGGTGGCACATGCTCAGAGTAACAAAGCATCGATTTCCATGCAGTTTGTATTGCATGGTCACTTAGATGTATTTACACATGGGTTTATGGGGCTTACATGGACACACAGCCACTCGTCCCGTTAGTCCGAGACTACAGAAAATCTATCAGGATTAATTTTGTCCCGAAAATCTAGTTATTTTACAGAAACCACTAGCCTTAAATTAACTTCTGACGAGTTGGAAATGACTTATGGTGTCTCTCCCTTGGTTGATATGTTGAGGACTGTTATGTCTTGCCCCTATTTGCAATACAATGTTCTTAGATATCACTGTCTACTGGTAATATCATACTTGAGCTGTGTTCTGATGTTCACTGTGTTTAGCCTGTTTATCATGTCAAGTAGGGTAGTTCCTTGCCATAAACAGAAGAGGGTGATGATTCACACATTCAATTGTTAATGTACATCTGAAAGCCAAAAGGGACATTAGAGTATACTGTGTTTAACTCGTGTTCATTCCTATTGGTTTACTTTTCTATGTTTTTGTCATTGTACAGTGGGACCCTGAAGACTTAATTTCTTACACCGGTACTGAGCTCTGTACTCGTCTTGTTCTTGGGCATACAACTAATCTGTACATATTTTTTTTTCAACCACAGAGTTCGTGACCTGAAGAAAGTGAAAACCACTGACCAAGACTGCCCCCTGGTCCTGCTGTCAGCCTCCAGTTGTGGTCACATCAAAGCCTTCAGGGTCACCTTCTCACAGGTAAACACGGGCTTCAACTAACAACTTGGGAGAGTCAGTGGGGGCACAATTCACCCAGTCTAAGGTGACACAATTGGCTGGGCAGGGTTGAGTCCCTGAGATGTGCCACAATCCTTTGTTGGTTCAGATCCCAGATTTGCCCTGATTCTGAATATTGGTTTGTCAGCACCAAAGTTGTAAAAGTCACGTCACTTCATGTTTTAGTCTTTCCTCCAAAAGTAAGCTGACACTGATGTTACATCGTTATTGTTCAAAGCGACATTTCCCATCTTACTCACTTTTGTTCAGGTTTCATATGGGGGGGGGGGGCCACCTCTGTGGTCTAGTGGTAGAGTGTCCCCCCGGAGAGCGGAAGGTCTGGGGTTCGATCCCCAGCTGCGTCATACCAAAATATTTAGAAAAGTTTGTAGGCAGCACTAACTAAGCCGGCGTTGTGCCTATATGTTGGGCACAGGGTGGTACACGGTGCACAGAGAAACACACAACGGATAAAAGACTTCTGGACAGATGAAAGATAGTCTTCTCTATTGTGGACAAAGAGACTTGAAGTGGTTATTTTAAACATTGTACCTGTATATTGTCAACCAATAGTCATGGAGTGGTTTTCACTGCACGTGTTCAGAAGATGACAATGAAACTTGCAGCTTCCCTTGATGACATCATCTGGGTCATTACACTATAAGACCACAGTTGTGAGGGCTGCCATTAGAGCAAAACACTTTAAAATTTATCATTCTTCTAGCCAAATTTTTCTTTTGGCATTGTTTTCCGTAGATACTGTTAACATGGTTAATATATGGACCATCATTACGTGAGATTATTTGACATGAAGACACTTTACGGTACTTGCCAAAGAAGTTGTCTGCATAAAGGCCAGGGACTCCCTGGAATGTTGCTGAAAGTTGCGTAAAATCCTGTTCACTCACTCACAACTACTTAGGCTGCAGTCTTTTAGTCCTTCATATTACAAAAACAATTAATCATGATGTATTTCCGACTTGCTGCCCTATCCATCAATGATTCATGAAACCTGCACTAACTAAGCCGGCGTTGTGTCTATATGTTGGGCACAGGGTGGTACACGGTGCATAGAGAAACACACAGTGGGTAAAAGACTTCTGGACAGATGATAGGTTGTCTTCGCTGTTGTGAACAATGATTGTGTGAATTGGTCATCAACTACTTCCATTACTCACGTTCTGTGTTTCTGAGGCTATTGTGGAGAGTTGGGACACTTCCTGTGTTTATGCCTTGAGTTTGTAATTAGGTCATGCCAGATTTATGTGGAAGAGTTTCGGATGGACTTCGCAGTTAATGTCATACACCTTGAATATTATTTTATACACATGCATGGCTGCTGAAGTTCCTACCTATCCAGCTGGCAGTAGCCAAGTTCATGTGATGCATTCTGTCAAAATGTGCTCTTTCTGGCGAATAAGGTACTCTGAATTGAAATTAGATGGGACTGCCAGACTTAATATACTAGGGTAGTTGTGTAGGGCTGGGTAATTAGGCATCTCTCCATGGTCACGCTTGCACACAAAATAATAATCTTGATCATGGCCAATTTCTCCTCTGATGTAAATATGTACGGGTATGAAGCAAACTCTTAAAGTGGATATATTGATACAGTGTTGTGATTAGCCAAGATGTTTTGATGCTCGTGTCACTCACAGGATTGTCTGGTCCATACTTTATTATGTGTAGAACAGTCTATAAGGTGAATGGTGAATGCAGCTTGGAAAAGAGAAAGCAACAATGTCTAGCCTGATGATGCTGATGTACCCAATGTTTATGACTTGTACTGAGTCCTGTAAGGATCTGATAAGAATTGTTTCCTATTTACCTGTGAATGTCACAAAAGGCAACTGAATGGATCAGGTTGTCAGGCTTGGTTACTTTCATGTGAGGCCCGTGAAGATCTGGGGTAGAAAAGGTCTTCAGCAACCCATGCTTGCCATAAAAGGCGACTATGCTTGTCGTAAGAGGTTACTAATGGGATCGGGTGGTCAGACTCGCTGACTTGGTTGGTGCATGTCATCGATCCCATTTGCATGGATCGATGCTCATGATGTCAATCACTGGATTGTCTGGTCCAGACTCGATTACTTAGACCGCTGTCATATAGTTGAATATTGCTGAGTGCAGCGTTTAACAACAAACAAACTAAAAACCAAAAACTTGCATGAAATCGTAACCCTGTGTCCTGGGAAGGTCATAGTATCAATCTAGGCCAGGCTGGATTATTTACGATATTTTTAAGTTCAGCTCAAACAACAAACATTGTATTCTCGTATCTAGAACTTTGTATCCTTGTTTGTGCAGGATTCAGTGAGCGCTGATCTGATTGCCTCCCATGACACCAAGTTCCGTCTCACGTGCATGGCTGCAACGCAGATCAAGACAAAGGTGAAGGTCAAAACAGAAGAGGAAGATGTTGATGTTAAGACGGAGGACACTATTGACCTTGATGACAGCATCGAAATTAAGATAGAGAAGACCAGTGATGAAGAGGAAGAAGAGGAATGCAAGAAAACATCTGGTGACAATACTTCCGAACAAGACAGTGGCCATGAAGAGGACTCCTGTTCTGATTCCGATTCTTCCAGGGAAGAAAGGTCAAGGAAACAGTCAAGGTCATATCTCGAGTTTAAAAGGGCAAGAAAGATGAAACGGAAAATGGGTGCTGAGAAGTTGGAGGTGGAGGGAAGGAAGAAGAAAAAGCCAAAAGTGAAAGGTACATGATAGATAGCTGAGCTGTGGGGCAGCTTGGTCCAGACAGCATTGCACTAACTAAGCCGGCGTTGTACCTATTTGTTGGATACAGGGTGGTATACGGTGCATATAGAAACAAGAATTGGAAAGTTTGGCTGAATGAAAGATTTAGTCTTTTTTCGTTTCTTGACATTTTCTTCTTTCCTTAATTTACATGTTGATCTATATAGAAGTATAGAATATAAAACAATACAATAAGGAACACTAGAGTCTCTTAATTACAGAGTTACAGCTGAGAATGGGATTGCTTTGTAAATGTGTTCTGGGGTCTGCAAGAGATAGTTGTTCAGGCAATTTCAACTTAACTAAATTAGCCAGTCCTTATCCAAAGAAACCCATCTTTTTAGTTGAACTAAGATGTTGTACATGTCTGTTTCGACCTCAGGGATGTGAAATCTCTGTGGAATCGCGGAAAATCATGTTTTTAAAACAGTAGTCCTTGGGGAAAAAAACATCTTCAAAAATATGCCCCCAGACCCCCCTAGAGTTTTCCTCTTCTTTTTTTTTCCGGAAAACCTGCTCACATCCCTGAGACCTCCAAATCCTTGTTAAGAAATAATAATCTATTTTGAAATGTCATGATCTTTGCTCAAGTCCTATGCCTAAAATATATGTTAGAAATCTTTTCCTTTGCATTACCAAAAAGTATTTTCATTTCAGAGACTAAGCCTGACAGACGCAGCCCAAAGATTTTGAGAAAGAGCAAGAGAAAAAGCTGAAACCCTGAAACCCTGAAACCCATGAGGTTGAGTACGAACTTGATACTCTTAGGAGTATAGCAGACCTCCTAGGACTGATAATCCCAGGAAACCTGTAGACGTTGTCAGATGGTGAGGTCCCTCTGGAGGAATGTGGTGGCTAGACTTCTTTCTGGCTCAACACAGGTTATGTGTCATTCAGCACCCCATTGTTGTGATCGTTCTCCGATACCAACTTTGTTCTGTCCTGCTTCTCATGCAGTTGAGAACTCATGGCATTGGGATTGTGTGATGTAAGGGATTATTTGTGAATTAAAATGTGATACTATACCCTTATTAATGTTATTTATTAAACAATATAGACCAAAAGACGGACCTGACCTGACCGGACCACAGTAAAAAGCATGGTCACTGCTACTGCATTAAAACCAGGGCTGGGACGAGTCCAAATTTACTACCCGTGTACTCGACCCCCAATTTCCCAACCCTCCCGAGTTTGGACCGCCTCCGTGGTCTAGTGGTAGAGCGCCCGCCCGGAGAGTGGAAGGTACAGGGTTTGATCCCCGTCCGCGTCATATCAAAAGACATTAAAAGATGGTACTTGTTGTTACTCTGTCTGGCGCCCGGCATTAAGGGGCTAAAACAAGGACTGGTATCTCAGTGGGCTAGCACTATAAATCAGCACGCACGCACACACGTGCATGCACGCCGTTATATAAGTGCAATAATCTTGGATGTGACGTTAAACCCCATTTCACCTCACCTCTCGAGAGTTGGGAACAAAATGTCTGATTGGGAATTGTTTTACCGCAGCCCTGGCAAACACTATTTAGATATATGTATATATATATCAAATGATCAGATCATCGTACACTGAAATTGACTGAAGTTTTATCTTTCCTCAAACGTATACAAGTCAAAAGTAATGTGCGCATCGTCAGAAAGGAATGCGAACATTAGCAACTTTTAGTGTAACCACTGAGCTATAGTGAGTTTTTGTCATTAAACAATACATCACATGACTAACCAGGGGCCAGGTTACACAAGTACCCAAGTTACCCGTCCCAGTCCTAACTAAAACAGTGATTTAGTTGGTGGTAAACAAAATAGTTATTTTTGAAAGTGGACATCATGAAACCCATGTTGCCTTCATTAGGGGAGTCAAAGTTTGTTCAAGGTTCACTAGAGTCCGTAAAGACATCATGGGTTTAATGGAAAATAATTGTGAAAAACCAGGTGCCAAAATGCTGGTTGAGGGACTATAGACACGACCTATGGAAGAGTTGTCAGAATTTCATTTAGAGGTATTGTGTCTAGTCAGCAATCTGATGTTGGTGAGATTGTGGTTCTTACATACACCACTTCTGTTATCTCCAGTGAATACATATGGTTACTGTGTGATGTATTTATGTATAGCTTAATCCTGTGTGCTTTTATTTTGAAACCCGTGAAGATCCGGGGTAGAATAGGTCTTCAGCAACCCATGCTTGCCGTAAAAGGCGACTATGCTTGTCGTAAGAGGCAACTAATGGGATCGGGTGGTCAGGCTCGCTGACTTGGTTGATGCATGTCATCGTATCCCAATTGCATGGATCGATGCTCATGATGTCAATCCCTGGATTGTCTGGTCCATGTAGCTGGAATATTGCTGAGTGCGGCGTTAAACAACAGAGACTGAAGCACGAGCAAGGATCTATGCCATCAGGATACACTTACATGCATCTGCCCAGGGGAAACTTGATCCAAATATTAGTCTGCTTATGTCAAGCACGAGCTACTATTCTGACCTGGAATCATTGATTTGAATATTTACAGACCGCCGTAATATACAGTTGCTGGAATATTTCCGCGTGCTGCAGTAAACAACAAACCAAAAACAAAACTTTTATTTGGAAAATCACCTGTTTCCCCACCTTACATAACTGAGCCACCAATTACACAAGTTCCTCCACCTTACATAACTGAGCCACCAATTACACAAGTTCCCCCATCTTACATAACTGAACCACCAATTACACAAGTTCCTCCATCTTACATAACTGAACCACCAATTACACAAGTTCCTCCATCTTACATAACTGAGCCACCAATTACACAAGTTTCCCCATCTTACATAACTGAGCCACCAATTACACAAGTTCCTCCATCTTACATAACTGAGCCACCAATTACACAAGTTTCCCCATCTTACATAACTGAGCCACCAATTACACAAGTTTCCCCATCTTACATAACTGAACCACCAATTACACAAGTTCCTCCATCTTACATAACAGAGCCACCAATTACACAAGTTCCCCCATCTTGCATAACTGAGCCACCAATTACACAAGTTCCTCCATCTTGCATAACTGAGCCACCAATTACACAAGTTCCTCCACCTTACATAACTGAGCCACCAATTACACAAGTTCCCCAAACTTACATAACTGAACCACCAATTACACAAGTTTCCCCATCTTACATAACTGAACCACCAATTACACAAGTTTCCCCACCTTACATAACTGAGCCACCAATTACACAAGTTCCTCCACCTTACATAACTGAGCCACCAATTACACAAGTTCCCCCATCTTACATAACTGAACCACCAATTACACAAGTTCCTCCATCTTACATAACTGAACCACCAATTACACAAGTTCCTCCATCTTACATAACTGAGCCACCAATTACACAAGTTCCCCAATCTTACATAACTGAGCCACCAATTACACAAGTTCCCCAATCTTACATAACTGAGCCACCAATTACACAAGTTTCCCCATCTTACATAACTGAGCCACCAATTACACAAGTTCCTCCATCTTACATAACTGAGCCACCAATTACACAAGTTTCCCCATCTTACATAACTGAACCACCAATTACACAAGTTCCTCCATCTTACATAACAGAGCCACCAATTACACAAGTTCCCCCATCTTGCATAACTGAGCCACCAATTACACAAGTTCCCCCATCTTGCATAACTAGCCACCAATTACACAAGTTCCTCCATCTTGCATAACTGAGCCACCAATTACACAAGTTCCTCCACCTTACATAACTGAGCCACCAATTACACAAGTTCCCCAATCTTACATAACTGAACCACCAATTACACAAGTTTCCCCACCTTACATAACAGAGCCACCAATTACACAAGTTCCCCCATCTTGCATAACTGAGCCACCAATTACACAAGTTCCCCCATCTTACATAACTGAGCCACCAATTACACAAGTTTCCCCATCTTACATAACTGAGCCACCAATTACACAAGTTCCCCCATCTTACATAACTGAGCCACCAATTACACAAGTTTCCCCATCTTACATAACTGAGCCACCAATTACACAAGTTCCTCCATCTTGCATATCTGAGCCACCAATTACACAAGTTCCCCCATCTTACATAACTGAGCCACCAATTACACAAGTTCCTCCATCTTACATAACTGAGCCACCAATTACACAAGTTCCTCCATTTTGCATAACTGAGCCACAATTACACAAGTTCCTCCTTCTTACATAACTGAGCCACAAGTTCCTCCATCTTACATAACTGAGCCACTAATTACACAAGTTCCCCCATCTTACATAACGGAGCCACCAATTACACAAGTTCCTCCATCTTGCATAACTGAGCCACCAATTACACAAGTTTCCCCATCTTACATAACTGAACCACCAATTACACAAGTTCCTCCATCTTACATAACAGAGCCACCAATTACACAAGTTCCCCCATCTTGCATAACTGAGCCACCAATTACACAAGTTCCCCCATCTTGCATAACTGAGCCACCAATTACACAAGTTCCTCCATCTTGCATAACTGAGCCACCAATTACACAAGTTCCTCCACCTTACATAACTGAGCCACCAATTACACAAGTTCCCCAAACTTACATAACTGAACCACCAATTACACAAGTTTCCCCACCTTACATAACTGAGCCACCAATTACACAAGTTCCTCCACCTTACATAACTGAGCCACCAATTACACAAGTTCCCCCATCTTACATAACTGAACCACCAATTACACAAGTTCCTCCATCTTACATAACTGAACCACCAATTACACAAGTTCCTCCATCTTACATAACTGAGCCACCAATTACACAAGTTCCCCAATCTTACATAACTGAGCCACCAATTACACAAGTTTCCCCATCTTACATAACTGAGCCACCAATTACACAAGTTCCTCCATCTTACATAACTGAGCCACCAATTACACAAGTTTCCCCATCTTACATAACTGAACCACCAATTACACAAGTTCCTCCATCTTACATAACAGAGCCACCAATTACACAAGTTCCCCCATCTTGCATAACTGAGCCACCAATTACACAAGTTCCCCCATCTTGCATAACTAGCCACCAATTACACAAGTTCCTCCATCTTGCATAACTGAGCCACCAATTACACAAGTTCCTCCACCTTACATAACTGAGCCACCAATTACACAAGTTCCCCAATCTTACATAACTGAACCACCAATTACACAAGTTTCCCCACCTTACATAACAGAGCCACCAATTACACAAGTTCCCCCATCTTGCATAACTGAGCCACCAATTACACAAGTTCCCCCATCTTACATAACTGAGCCACCAATTACACAAGTTTCCCCATCTTACATAACTGAGCCACCAATTACACAAGTTCCCCCATCTTACATAACTGAGCCACCAATTACACAAGTTTCCCCATCTTACATAACTGAGCCACCAATTACACAAGTTCCTCCATCTTGCATAACTGAGCCACCAATTACACAAGTTCCCCCATCTTACATAACTGAGCCACCAATTACACAAGTTCCTCCATCTTACATAACTGAGCCACCAATTACACAAGTTCCTCCATTTTGCATAACTGAGCCACAATTACACAAGTTCCTCCTTCTTACATAACTGAGCCACAAGTTCCTCCATCTTGCATAACTGAGCCACTAATTACACAAGTTCCCCCATCTTACATAACGGAGCCACCAATTACACAAGTTCCTCCATCTTGCATAACTGAGCCACCAATTACACAAGTTCCTCCATCTTGCATAACTGAGCCACCAATTACACAAGTTCCTCCATCTTGCATAACTGAGCCACCAATTACACAAGTTCCTCCATCTTGCATAACTGAGCCACCACCTTAGACCAGAGCCACCAGTGAATGCAACTAACAGGATTGGGTGGTCAGGGTTGCTGACTTGGTATCCCATCTACGTGGATCGATGCTCATGATGTTAGTCACTGAATTGTCTGGTCCATATAGCTGGAATATTGCTGAGTGCGGCGTTAAACAACAGAGACTGAAGCACGAGCAAGGGTCTATGCCATCAGGATACACTAACATGCATCTGCCCAGGGGACACTCGATCCAAATATTAGTCTGCTTATGTCAAGAACGAGCTACTATTCTGACCTGGAATCCTCATTAATTTTAACCTGTCTGTGAATTATAATGTTATGTTTGCCACCCTACCTCTACCTCATGTATAGTTACGTATCTCAATGCTTAACTGGTGCTGTTCAGAATGAAGATATGCAGTCTGGCAGACAGGAGGTTCTTGCTATGAACCATTTGGTGTAGAACTTGCATGACTGGTTAAGTTCTTACATTTAAAGGAGGGAGAGAGCCCTCAGAACCCCCCCATCTGGATCCATCACTTATGTGCCTCATCACCTGTCATACGCAAATTGTTGAATCTGATTGTGATATACAAGTCAAAGAGAGAGTGAGTGAGTATGGTTTTACGCCGCTTTTTGCAATATTCCAGCAATATCACGGCAGGGGGACACCAGAAACTGGCTTCACACATTGCACCCATGTTGGGAATCAAACCCGGGTCTTGGGCTAGGCCACTAGGCTACCCGACCGCCCCCAAAAGAACACAATATTTTTACATGATCTGGTTCATCTGTCTTGGCTGCTGGGTATTAACACACAGCCTTCCAATTGTGGGTGTCCTTAAACTTGTTTTGCCAAGTATATATAGTTTCACACTGGCATTTCAGCCATATGGCGACAATCTTCCACTGCCAAGTGTTGCTGGGACAAATCAAGGTAAAAAAAGCTCACATTTTTTACAAATCTTTATTATTTCTACACTTGCATACACATTTCAACTGCACACAAATGTGAGATGAAGGTACCACAGAAACCATCACCATCTGTACGAAATTAACACTGTATTTAATCACAACAATATACAAATAAGGTCCATCACTGGACATTTCTTTCATAAACAATTATTTAAACCATTAGGACTTCATGGTATTACTGGTATGCTGCAATATACACATTACAATATCCTTTTCTGTGTTCCAGCATATTGGGTAAAAACAACACAACAATTTTTGTTATTTGTATCACTTAACCTAAAATCTGCACAGAAATTTATTCACAAACGAGGTTTCCTTTCAAAATCAATTGAAAAAATCCCGGAAACACAGAAATGATTTTTTTGTCTTTATCTCCCCTGTATCCATAACTACAAAATGGCGGCAACTGACCATGCTGAGTAAAATTTACATTACTATGTAGAAAATAGTATCTGAATGGACAGTCAGTGTAAATCACTGTCAAACACTTTAGCTACCAATATATCATACGATGTATCGCAATATAGACACAGGCAACGTATATTTTGCAATACAATTTGTTTACCAATACACAACCCTACAAACCATTTCTTTAACATACATAATCTCTATCAAAATCTGTGATCTGCCTCTTTCTCAGTAAAACAAAAGATGCATGGTGACCTAGTCATTCTGCAAATAAGCCCCTGAAGATATTACTACTTTCATGGCCTAATGTCTCATCAAGCACCAGGGCATGGGCCAAGTGAACCCTCATTGACAAAGGAATGTGATGAGATTTGATTGATGGGATAATATTGGCAATCTTATCTTTTTGATGCCTTTTGGCATGAGTTAGTTGTGTTTCATGCCGCTTTGAACAGTATTTCAGTTGTATCATGGCGTGTCATCTTGATGTGGGAGCACTGCCCGAAATAATGCAACGTGTACCTCTTTGGTGAAGTTGTGTACAGTACTGACAACCAAGAGTGAGTGAATATTGTTTTACGCTGCTTTCAGCAATATTCCAAAAATATCGCAGCAGGCTGACAATCAATAATTATAATCAGGTCTCATCTGGGATTGGAACCCATACTGCAGATCCAGGCATGACTAAGGGCCACTACTCTGTACAGAATGACAGCAACATGAGTGGCCGACTCTGACCCATCTTGACACAGAAGGTTATAAGATGTTTTAAATTATCTATTATAGAGATACAGAAACAGGACTACAGTTGTCTTGCCTTGCGGTTCACGGTTGTTGCAAAACAAAAACTAGAGAGTACCGGGTAAGACATTCTTCTACAGAGAAAGGAAATTTGGCAAAAGGCATTTTGATGGTGTAATAAAAAGAGAGCAAATTAGTCTAAAAACAGTCAAGTCCTATTGACTGAAAAATATAATCTACTGTTTATTGTCACAGACAATGACATTTCATGGAGGTTGATGATGAAGCGATGATGTTTCCACTTCGAGGTCCCTGACAGCTCACTGAGTTAGTCGATACCCGTACCTCATCAGCATTAATAAACTGAAAACAGAGGATATGTAGGGTGTCAAGATACAACTACATCATGCTTGTCATTAAAGGTGGGCAACAAATCCCATTTGTGTAGATTGATGCTCATCATGTCAATCACACAATTGTCTGATCCAGATTTGATTATTTACCTTGTTTACAGATTGCTATGAAATAATGTATTCGACATAATAAGCGCCCAGGGCGCTCTCAAAATTAGAAATAGGGGGCTCTTATCAGAATATAATTTTGGTGAAAGAGTTGAATGATAGTAAATTTTGTGGTTTATGCCTACAGCCTGAAATGATACAAAAGAAAAGTCTGTGCGTTTTATAAACGACAAATATATTTTTCCAGAATATAATTGCCTGAAATTAAGAGTCCATATAACACACGACTGCGTATTATACACGAATATATAAGGCTTGTGTATATTGATCAATCGGAAGGGTGCTAATTGGGATTGTTCACTAGCCACTATATTAGCAAATATCGCTGCAGGCGCTTATAAGGGAAGGGCGCTTATTACGTTGAATATGGTAGCTGGAATATTGCAGCGTGTGGCATTAAACAACAAACAAACACCATATCATGATCCTCAGTCACAACACAGTACATATCAGTATATAAATTTTCCACAATTATCATGTTACATTTTATGTGGCCTGGGTGGTTGTGCTATTAACTGTTTTCTATTCATTTCATCACCTTCCTGAGGCAAGGGAGTTAACAGACTATAAAGTCCAGTTTCCACTCTTGCCAAACTAGGCTGAAATTTCTTGGTTCGATCGTAGCGCCACTCGTGGCCATTACAGGTTATGTCCCTTTTATGTCCCTGCTATTGACCAATCAGATTCCACCTCTGATATCAATTACATTTGCTTCAAACAAAATGGCAGCATCCGGTGAAGAAGATCTGATCGATAATCAAGATCTATATTGTACCTAGATCAAAAACATGAAAAGATTTTAAAACTATCTGTTGACGCCCAGTTGACAGTACACATGCTTTGCAAATCCTGCAACCAACCAAACCTGCACGGTTGTTGATTTCGCTATGTGATTTTGACTGGACTATGCATAGACAAAATATAACTCCATAATTCCTGCCTAGTTCCGCAAGGGTGGAAACTGGACTCTTATAGTCAGTTAAGTCCCTCGCTTCTAGAAGATGTTATTTCGTATGACTGACTAATCTATGCTCACTCTGATAACAAATATAATACATTTTGTTTAGTAATAGGCAATAAGGTAATGCCAGCCTGAGTAAATACTACTTTGTGAAAATCAACACAGAATTAAAACAATGGAAACATGGGAAGGTGTATTGAGTATCATATCACCAGAGGAAGATTTGTTATACATCAGTGCCTCAGTACATCAGTTAATCATGACAACCCTACATCCTTCCATAAGCTTCCTGACATTCAATGGATTTAAGTTTCCACTTTAACACTTTCAACAATGAGTTTTTACCTCAAAGATGCTACCATCCCTGCTGGCATGAACTTGCCCGAGCTGATAAACCTGTAGCCCATGACGCCCGTCAATAGCGCACTTGTGGCTGAAACACAATTTCATCAACTAGTCAGCATTCAACATTTACAAAATCTAGCCTTGTCTTATATAGGTGAGGTGAAATGAGTGAGTGAGTGAGTTGGGTTTAACACTATTTTTAACATTATTCCAGTTATATCACAGCGTGTCAGCTTAACGTGGGAGGAAAGCCCAAAGTGATGCAGGTCTCAGACGTTTACCACTTTGGTGAAACCCACAAGCACGGGTATGGTGCTGACAAACCTAGAAACATAATTGGTCAATAGCGCACTTGTGGCTGAAACACAATTTCATCAACTAGTCAGCATTCAACATTTACAAAATCTAGCCTTGTCTTATATAGGTGAGGTGAAATGAGTGAGTGAGTGAGTTGGGTTTAACACTATTTTTAACATTATTCCAGTTATATCACAGCGTGTCAGCTTAACGTGGGAGGAAAGCCCAAAGTGATGCAGGTCTCAGACGTTTACCACTTTGGTGAAACCCACAAGCACGGGTATGGTGCTGACAAACCTAGAAACATAATTGGGGCGAACCAGGATTCGAACCCACAATCATAGGTTTCTGGCTTGCACCAAGGGACACAACTCTGCACAGCAAATCGCGGCGCCTTAGACGACTGGGCCACCCGTGGCCCCTGAGGTGAAATGAGGCTTACCGCATCCTCTATACTGCCAGGGCTTGCATTTTGGTAAACATAAGAATAGGTTCACCAAAATATGAGCCCTGCAGATATGAAGGATGTCACGTTCAAGATTATTGCACTTACCTAGCTATGTGCATGCCACTGCTTGTACCAATACGGACAAATGCCGGTTTTGTAGTGCTAGCCCACTGAGATACATGCCACAGTTTAAGAAGAATACCCCACTCAGACACAGAATACTGACTCCGAGCCAACCAGTCCTTGTTTTAGCCCCTTAATGCCAAGTGCCAGACAGGGTTACAACAAGTACCATCTTTTAACATCTTTTGGTATGATGCGGCCAGAGATCGAGCCCCAGACCTTCCACTCTCCGGGCGGACGCTCTACCACTAGACCACGGAGTCAGTCAAATACAATTTAGAGGTCCTGACACAAGTCCCCTGTCACACCTGTGAAGATCCGGGGTAGAATAGGTCTTCAGCAAACCCATTCTTGTCGTAAAAGGCGACTATGCTTGTCATAAGAGCCGACTAATGGGATTGGGTGGTCAGACTCGCTGACTTGGTTGATGCATGACATCGTATCCCATTTGCGTGGATCGATGCTCACGATGTCAATCACTGGATTGTCTGGTCCAGACTTGATTATTTACAGACCGCCGTCATATAGCTAAAACATTGCTGAGTGCAGCGTTAAACAACAAATAAACAAACAAACAAACTGTCCCCTGTCAACTAATGGTGAAAGTTCTTTGCCATGTCCATGAGGGATATATAACCTTTACTTCCCTATTGCTCATAAGTTATTCTCAAATTACAACATACATACATGTCCCAGCTGTAATAATGAACTAGTCCAGGTAAACTAGTGGTTGACAGCATGAGCAACAGTCCATGGTGTCAGGTGTACATGCAATCATCCAGGTAACACAAACAGTCGCTATTGTCATGACTCATGGTAGCCTCAATACTTTGCCCAGGACCTTCAGTCTTAAAGACATGAACAGGCTCATAACAACAAGAAAAACTTACCAAGGGATAAGGACACATTTTTAGGATCATTTGTTGTCTGGTAGGCTCCAACTCCCATCACTGCTCCACAGGCCACACCCATTGCCAGAGAGGGCATGCTCCCTGCAAGCCATTACATCACAACTTGAATAAAAATTCTGGATATACATAATCTCATTACAATCAGACCTATTACTCCGAGTGTTACTCCGATTTGTCAAGATCTTAGGTCACTCCATGGAAGGTCTCTTCAGGTGAACCCTGACCAAACTTGGACCTCCCAATCTAAAATAAGGATCCCTGTGGGTTCTTGGGCCAATCAGCTGTCAGCTTTCTAAAACGATTTGGGTTCATTGTTTTTCCAACTCACCCAATCCTTTAAGTTGCCTCTTACAACCAACATACTTTGATAGGAACCAATTCTAACCTGGAATCCCCACGGGAAGGTATCACTTTGGAGGTAAAAGAGTCGGTTTTAAGAGACTGTACAGCTGGTAAAACATACTTGTATTCATGGGCTCCACTGCTGATGTCATCAAACACACTTCTGATTGTCACTTCTTAACAATTGATTGTATCATGTAAATGTTAATACACCAAGATGCACAGGTAAGCTACAACACTGTGGCTGTAATGAGGGACTTTGTGTTTCTTCTATCATCAAAACAAAGTTACCACAATTTCAATCTAGAATCCAGAGTGAAGCTTGTCCAAATTAGACACTTTTTACTCCATCATCAATCTCATTAAAATCAGACCTTAGTTCTCACTACCGCTAAACAAAGATCTAAAGACATCCCATTAGGGGTCACGTCAGAACGACCTTTCATCCAATCAATCAGAGCGTTGCTTACCAGATTATGAAAGTGACAGTTGGAATGTGATTTCTAATCATGCAATTTCAAAACTTTAACACGGGGTATTCCGAACGATGGTTACGGGTTTAACGACTGAATCCATACAATCTAGACCATCTATCAGCCATTCCAGAATGTTCTTTTGTTCAGGTTTCAAATTTGTAATCGAGGATTTGTCAAAATATGTTTCGAAGCGTAGTTGCCAATTTGAAATTAGTGCCGTAAAGCAGGAGAAAGCTTCCTTCTGATCGGTCATTCCATTGGTCGGTCAAAGTTCACGCAAGGTCAGTCTGACGTGACCCATAATGGGATGTCCTCAGATCTTTGTTTAGCAGTAGCGGTAATGAGATTGACTCCATCATAGAATTAACATGGCAAATTACGGATCAAGAATTAGGTGGATTATTCAAGAGTAATTTAGTAGGGCTGCAACGATACAGGATGGTCACGATACGATACGCATCTCAATATTCTGGTCACGATACGATACGTATCTTGATACGGAATGATACAAAAACAAGAGTTAAAGTAGTCAAATTTATTTTATAATAACAAAACTACTGAAGTTGTTAAGCTTCAAAGTGGAATTTTCTCTAACTTTCCTTCAAAACAATTCAAAATTCAAACACCAGAAAATAATTAATGTACACCAGTGATACAACTTCAAAGAATTTTGATGCAATGGTCGAAGAAATTGTATCTGAAATTATTGTTTTATCAGGAATAATATATTCCAATATCGTGTTACTTTAGTTGCAGCTTTTACTATATATATATTTAAAATTATAAGAACCACAAGTGTAGCATTTTGGTACTGGTGATTGCTGTTGCAGGATATTTTTACGCATGGAACAACTTGACCAGTCACCGTAGGGACTTCACACGCTACATGTATTTCAATTCCGAAAACGTTGTGTTGCCATATATTAGCCAAACTGCCACAAATATGACTTTTAACAAGTCAAAGTATGGCATTTTTAATATATGTATCCATTCTTTAGCAACTAAAGTTTGTTTCAATTCGTCAAAAGCGGTAATCTGACCGTGATTGCTGTATCTCTTCACACACGATTTCACCTAACTTAATGAAAACAACATTAAATTAAATTTTGAAAAAAAATATATATATATTACAAACACAAGTCCAGATATACAATGAACACATTTTAATAACAAGATAGTATAAAAATGGTTTTGAAATGCGTACTTCAGTTCGGATTTGCTGACTGGTATTTCCGGTGTTATGTGCTTGCGGTGATCAGCTGATAATGTTTTTTGAGATGGGGAAAAACATCTGTCAGTGTAAAACCTGAGCTTATTAAAAATGTAAGTACGTTTTGGGAGCCCTGCATTAAAACCAAGCCAGCGGTTTATTGAAAGGTACAATGGCAAGGAAACGCTGTACTTGAGATTTGTGTTCCGTATCGTGGCATATCGATAAATGGGCCCACATTTATCGTATATCATATCGTGGGTCAAGTATCGCGATGCATCGGAATATCAGTGTATCATTTCACCCTTAGTAATGAGTGACTTTGTCTTTCTTCTATCATCAAAACAAAGTTACCACAATTTCAATCCGGAATCCAGAGTGAAGCTCATCCAAATTAGACACTTTTTACTTGATCATAGAATTAACATAGCAAATTTCGGATCTAGAATTAGGTGGATTACTACTCAAGAGTAAACAGATTCCACTCTACTGAGTACAAGCAGTTTCAGTAGAGGGATACTTACCGTTCTCATAGATCTCAATGTGTGGAGTTGAATTTGAAACTAGGAGTGCAACATTAAGTTTCACATGTTAAATTTAGCTATGTCAAATCTACAGGTAACCTATCTTTACATTTAACAATGTTCAAAACACAGTATGTCTATCTCCATTCTACCATGACAATATTATACATAAACTCTTTGATGTAAGCAGAGATAATGACTGTCTGGCAGTTAAATTTAAGGCTCCTTACCTATTCAGTTATATCATAACTCCTCATACATTCTCAAGTAATTGTTTGCATTATTTCAGCCAAATCAAGATGCAATTTGTCTCTTGTTTTTCGCAATTTTTCAATATTCATACTGTCTGAATGCGGACAGGTATCTTTGAAGATGAGCAGGCACCCTTTATGGGTCACCTTGCCAACAGTCTTGTTGGGTTTTGAAATCATTTCAAACACTGGTCAAATTGCAAGCTTTCCATGTACACTCCCTTTGTCGATTACTATTGGCTTTTTAATATTGCAGTAACCACATAGGCATTTCTTAACCTACAATTGTAGATATCCTTATTTAAAAATGCCTAACGAAAGAGATTGAGAAATAAGTACTTTTCTTGCATGTATTAGCTTCAGTGATGGCGTGGCTGTCAAAACAACTGTTTCAGTCATAGTGATTTGAAATGAAACCTCAAATTCATCCGAAATATTTAAGAATTACAGTCATTTGAAGCACCTACAATCTGGTGACAGCAGTACTAATCGATATTAGTGAATCAAATGAATATTGAAGCGCATACACACTAACATCAGAAGCCTTACCAAATGTTTCATCCAATTTGCTTGGCGTAAAAGAAACTACAGACATTTGAAATTCAGTAATTCAGGTGACAGCTTACTGCCAAATAATACAATTCATATTCAATGAAGAACAAGTAGAAAAGGCAAAAACTTAACAGAATCCAGTGATGATACAATGATGTGGTTAAATGAATACTTGTTGGCAGGCTATGAGTTGATTCGAAAAAAACATGTATTTTTCTTGAAACTATCAAAAAAACAGTTTTACTTACTACTATTTTCAAAATCTAAGTAATGTTCTGGTTTCGTATTCAAAGTTATTTAATACATATCAATTGTTTTAGTAGTGTCATAATCAGGGCTTGGACGAGTCCTAATATACTGCCGAGGTACCTGATCCCCACTATCCAACCCTACCCGGGAACCTGCTGTAGGTCTCAAGAGTTTGGTACAAAATGTCTGATTGGAAACTAATTTACCGGAGCCCTGGAAAACTGTTTAGATACATGTATAAAAACATCTGATCATGCATACACTGAAGCTGACCAGGGATATGTCTAGGATTCCAAAACTAAGTTCCCTTAGCAGTCAAACTAGGAAAAATAAATCAAGTTATTTTGTTCAAAATTGGATTTTTCTACTGTTCACATTTTCGTAAATTGAAATGTGAAATAAGAAATGTTAATTTCAAATTGGGATTTTTTTCTGTCATTTGCTGGAAATTTCGTTATATATTTACTCAAACATAAAAAAAGTTAGAAGGAATGCATGCATAGTCAGAAAGAAATGCAAAGAAATGCAAAGAAATGTAGTGTGACCATGGAGTTATATTGGTTATTGTCACTGAACAATCATGTGAATAACCACGTCTGTGTAGTCTTTTGGGTACCCGTGTCCTATTCAGAACCCACCCAGCCCAGCCCTACTTATAATTCACAAAGGACATTAAAGGTTCATCAAAAACCTAATGGAACAAATAAATTGTTCAATATTCATGAATGTTATATTAAGTCATTGATTGGGCTTATAACATTTTACTAATTGCAGCAAGACAAGGCTGGTATTTAAAGACTTTCATTCAAGACATTTTAACCCCAATTGGCACAACAATAATTCTCTCCTACACCTGATAATATTTGCTCCCTGCTTATAGTTCGTATGTCAAAATAAATACAGTGGGAAGTTTTTTTAAGTCACAAAATGCTAAAGATAGTCAATATTGTGTTGCATTTATTTTATTCTTCCCACATAAAACTAAAATTATCGGACTGCATATGTAAATTATAACTGTGCAACCCAATAAACGACCCGACCATAACACTTGAAGGTTCTACATTCTGAACTTATGCACATCCATGATGGCACATCACTTGATAAATGAAAATTTAAATTAACGACTTCCCTGTACTCGAATATTTCTTAGGGAATAGATGTTGTCAGTTCACCAAATTCATTCGTCTGGGACTTTATACAAACATGGTAAAACAAGCGAATATATTTACCTGCTTTAACATATCCTAAGACTCCGCCAGCGGCAATAGTCGCAGCATAAGCAAAACTAATGATGTCGATCGCCATCTTGCCAGCAGGTGCTTGTTGGAAGAGATATATATACAACTAATGTTCTTGGCATATATATTATGTTCACAATTTTAGAATGGAGAGTGAATAATACAATATGTTACATAGGTAATACAATGAACGCTTATAAAAGTTTATATAAATTAGTTATTCTAAATAAGTGTATTACTACATACATGTGTGTATCACAATCATTAACTTAATAAGAGCAGTTGTAGTGCAAGTATGATTGTGAAAATAAAAATGGCAGCTCCCATGTCGGCAGCATTTCCAGTGATGACAAAACAGGTACACACATTCTTGATCAAATCCAATGTCGTTACTGACGTCCTTTTCCGGATGAGAGTTTCTCTGTTACAGCTCTAAGAAAGTTACCTTGTAGTGGAAGATTGTGGTTGTAGGCCCTGGATAAAGCAGGCTTATCTGCTGATCATGACAGTCATGTTCAATTATTATTGGCTGGATTCCGGAACACGGAATCCAGGTTGGATATGACATAACATTGAATAACATGATTCTCTCCAAACACGTAGTGGTTACATATACCATGCCCACGTGAGAACACTCGCGGGTATCATGATGTTAATTAATCTCAAGCCGTTGACTCGTGTCAACCTCTCGGGTGTCGAAGAAAACAAACTAATATGAGCATGATGAGCCGACTAACGAGGAATATTATGGATAGCAACCTCTGTATTACGCCTATACATACACACGTTAGAGGGCTAAATCTTGACCTTTCTGAGTTCTTGAGGTGAATAATGGGACTGGAGAGCATGACATGAATGTACATAGAAATGAGGCAGTTTTTAATAACACACACACACATAAAGTGATGAGATTCACTAGTGTACAGTAGCAAATATATAAAGAAATCACAAAATAATCACATTTGGTGTTGTGTGATTATTTTGTGAATTTCTTGTATTGTTAAGGAATCTTAACTGTGTTTGTACAATAGATTAGGTGAGTAAATTCATAGAGTTGATTGTAAAGTGAATTAAAATTAAATGTCTGGCATGCACTGGAAAGGAAAATTCCCTAATCTGGCCACCAACCCGTAATCGCACCAGTTCTTGCCATATTTTTATGTGTTCTTTCTGAACTAAAATTCACACCTTTATTTATATTTGTCTTTTCCCTGGCTATTGTTTACCTTGATGCGCATGCGTAGTACCTTTTTCTCTCTCTGAGCAACCCAAAACTTGAGACAAAAGTTTGCAGATTTTCCACTAATTAGTATTACATTGGATGCATTTGTTAAAAGAGATGGGACACCAAAACCCTTTCTAACTTTCAACAAACCCGAAGGATCATACAGGAATGTTTGATTGGGCTAAGAATAAGAGTTGAAGGGGGGTGAGTGGGGAGGGGGGCCTCAGCCAGCAACCAGCCAATTAGCCCTATAAAAGCAGCACCCGGAAAACTGCAGTCTTGTCCCAAAAAATTCCTCCTGATGAAAACGAGCAAAAGTGAAAACAAGTGGTAATTATCAGATTATGTGCATGCTAAGATGGAGTATTGGTGAAAATAGGTCCTTGGCGATAACTGTTTGACAGCCAGTACATGTTTTCAATAATCATTTTGCAGGTGACAAAAGTGGTGAATGACAACCACACTGATGTTCTATGCAGCAGGTTTGATGACAGATTGCTTCTGGTGGTCTCTCAGCTTCAGAAGTTTGGCACTATGGTGAGGGTTATATGTGTTATTTAAATGGACACTGATCTACAGCAATAACCCAGGACTTCTTGTTGCCTTTGTTATTGTCTTTCCTTGTGAGTACCCCGATGATATCCTAGAAATCCTGACTAGTTCATGACCTGTGCTGCGCCAGCAGTAAGCTCATTTGTCACTTTTATTGATAGTATAAGGGCATATCGTCACATTGATCAACAAAATACTATTTTATCTTTATTTTTGCACGTAGCATCGGTAATGGTTACAAAGTTTTGATAAGTCACTTCTTGGTATTAGTTAGTATTAGTTTAAGTTTTAAACTTATCCTATCTCACAATATGACTTTCTTCCTCTTTTCTTTGATCCTATGTGGAAATGTGCTTGAACAGAGATAACAGCTTCTAATAAACAATCCACCCGAACACACCCCAGCATCCCCATGGTCACCTCCCAAACAAATGGATCATGTGCGTAATCCTGCGCATAGCGACCTACACAACCTGATCACATGCCTCCTTTGTCTGTCACTTCATTCTCTTTCTCACCGCCACGCCGGGGTGACATGTTTGATCATGAGAGAGTGCATTTTGGTTTTGGTTTTTTTTCAATTTGCCTATACTTAGCGCAGCTGTTTTTATACCATGCTAAGGGGAATGGAAAAGAATAAGGAAAACGCAGCTGATAATCTGCATCCTGCTTCTGCGCAATGTTGACCTCTGACCCACATTAAAAGCGTTGTGATTCTCGCTGATGGTACAGCCTTGAATCACACTGTATGGAATGCAAATTTTCTGGAGGCTGCATTCTCCATTTATCTCCATAAAGGAAGATCAGGTTCGATATCGCTCTTCACTTACAGCCTAGAGTCCACAAGCGGCTTGATCAACTACTTGCCACTCTCCTGATCACTCTCCTTGGGATCGCTGTTCTAAGGTTCCACGAACGGACTCCTCCACCCGATCCAGGGATCGACGTTCTCCTGATGAACACTCCAAGGCTTGGCGCTCCCACGATCGGCATTCAGACTCAAATTGTGCCGGGATGGATGCTCTGGCTCTCACGAATGACCTTCAAGATCATGTGACTGCTCCCGGGTTTACTGCTCTTAGGTTTGGAGCTCCCGCGATCAACACTCCAAGGATCGGTGATATCACATTGATGTTACCCAGTCGTTCCTGTTGGTTCTACAGTCCCGGTCCCATTGGTTGTGGAATATGTGCCAGCTACTGCTGTTATGGACCATCACTCTTCTCCGGCTTCTGGAAAGTTTTGAATCTGACGATCCTACTTCAGTTCTACACTGGATTGCTGATCAACTACATCTGGATTGCTTTATGTAAGCAGATGATCGTTTGAAGGGTTTCATGGACTCCGCAGCAAGCTCACTGAATATCTACCCCCCTCCTCAACTGGTGCTGTTAGATATCTGCGACCCGTGAAGATCGGGGTTAGAATAGGTCTTCAGCAACCCATGCTTGCCGTAAAAGGTGACTATGCTTGTCATAAGAGGCGACTAGCAGGATTGGATGGTCAGGCTTGCTGACTTGGTTGATGCATGTCATCGATCCCAATTGCATGGATCGATGCTCATGATGTAAATGACTGGATTGTCTTGTCCAGACTCGATTATTTACAGACCGCCGTCATATAGTTGGAATATTGCTGAGTGAGGTGTTAAACAATAAACAAACAAACAAAGATATCTCTAATAATCTGGATTAGGCTTTTGGTTCATTTCCTCGCTTATGAGATTGGCTTCTGTCTCCCTGGTTTGTCTTGGAGGATGACAGCACCCATGGTATATCTGCTCCTGTTTCTTTTGTCTGGATCCATGCTCTGGATGTCAAGAGGGTTCCGTTTCAACTGTCCGAGAATGAAAAACTATTCTTGGGACTTTGCTGGGATTTTGTTGTAAACAACCAGCTTCCAGGACAGCCTGATTGCCTTTTACGATCCCATCGCTGTTGTCCATCTTGGGTTCGGAAGACCTCTCTTTGTGATCAGTGAGAGTAAGTTTAATAATTTGGAAATATTTTCATAAATTTTATATTTATATATGCTTATCCTATCTCACACACTATGCCCACCTGACCATCCCTGCATCTTATCTCCTCTAACCTGTTAGCTGTGACAAAAGAGAATGAAGTGACAAAGGAGGCACATGATCAGGTTGTGTAGGTCACTATGCACAGGATTACTTGTGTTACCCATTTGTTTGGGAGGTGACCATGGTGATGTGGGGATTGTTTGAGTGGATTGTTGCATAAGCTGGAAACTCTGTTCAAGCACGTTTCCAAGTAGGATCGAAGAAGAAATTAGGCAGTTACCTTGTTCAAGAAATGTATCCGTCAATATCAACACAAAGAAAATATCCCCTATGTCTGCAGCTGTACAAAGAAACTTGTTCAATGTCTCATGTCTTTGTAACAATCTAATATAATAAACTATGTATATAGCATTTCTGGATATTATAACTCATATTTGTTTCTTAACTGATCACGTAAGTTTGTTTGGGGTGTTTCACTTAGGTGTCATATGTCTCATTGGTTAGCTGAGATAGCCAGTGTCACAGCTATTTTCATGATGTCCAAGGTTCTTTAAAAAAATCCATTGAGTGAGATAACAATTAGCAATCAATCAACATATTATCAGTTAATCATTCGAACAAAGTATGTTGTTTTTACATAGGCACTTCACGCCCAGATATGGTAGTATTCCATCTGCTTTAGTAAACCTACACATGTAAGCACTTTCGACAAATCAACTGTACAAAATAACAGTGATTAATCAATCAACATATTATCAGTTAATCCTTTAAACAAAGTATGTTGTTTTTACATAGGCACTTCACGCCCAGATATGGTAGTACTCCATCTGCTTTAGTAAACCTACACATGTAAGCACTTTCGACAAATCAACTGTACAAAATATCAGTGATTAATCAATCAACATATTTTCGTTTACTCCTCTGATGGATGTTATTTTTGTAACTCTCATACTGTGCTATCACCTGCATATTATATAACATACATTTCATCCCACTTCAGATGGATTTAGATTGAATAATTACCCCAGACTCAAGAAATGCCAAATGGGAACCTTTGTCTGCTACTCTGAGTGGTTCTACCATTAATTAGACCTGTAATAAATTCATTAACTGAGCATCAGGTGAATTTCGACAAATACACAGGTGTAGGGTTATAGCAGGAAACATGGATGACAACAAGGGAGTAGTCATTGTATTACATGCAATTTGAAATCCCAAAATACTTTGACTTCCACCATTCATTTTGTATGTTTGTTTAGGTTAAGGAAATTAATAAACATGCACCCTTTGTGATATTGAAATCATCCTAGATCACGGGTAGCCAATCGGTGTTCAGAAATGCCAACATAGATAAAGTTTATTTATGCTACAGACAGTAGCCCAGTCTCTTGGTCTCTTGTCACGCTCAGTTGCGTTTGCGAGCAAATCGACTCGCGGCAGCTAGTGTGAGTCAGCAGGGAAGAAGCCAAAGATAAGTGCCCCTTTAAAGTTAAGGTTAATAATTAAAAGCGAACACAATAATTTAACAATCACTATTCTTCTTATTCTGCCAGCTGCAAACGTACATGTTAACCACAAGAAATGTGCATACATGTAAAACAAATTAAAGAACTGGATTAAAGATATGCTTCACAGGAGGTTAGTGTCATATTCAGATAACTTTGTGATTAAAAAATCATATTGATAAAAATATGTAGACCAATAGATAAATAAAACATCTGAACCATTCATGTATATTATGATCATAACTGTTTAAATAAGGTTATAAAATATGTTACTAAAGTTGCAATAAATGGTGTTGTGATGACAGTTTCACCTGGTCTCACATAGAGGTACATAAACAGCATGCTCACCTCTCCACAGTGTCCTCTATTTTGCTTTTAGTTGTCCTAGAACAAAGTTAGAAACTCTGAGATATCCATCCCAACCAGAGGGGTCAGGTGTGGCAGTTGTCTGACATGACTAAGATGCTACACTGCAGAGTTGCCTCCCTTAGGCTTGACTTGCCGGCAAGATAGCTGTAAGATTGGTGATTGTGCTGTAAGCAATACTCACTCACTCACTCACTCACTCACTCACTCACTCACTCACTCACTCACTCACTCACTCACTCACTCACTCACTCACTCACTCACTCACTCACTCACTCACTCACTCACTCAGACTTGCATGAAATATGTGATAATGGCTTGGAATGAGTATGATTCTAGGTTTTTCAGCATTATACCTGTGCTTGCTTCACTAACGTCCAAGGCCAGCATCACTTTGGATGGTTTTTCCCACATCAGTCTGATACACAGCTGTGAAGTACTGTTCAAAGCAGCTAAACTCAAGCACTCCATCCGACCGAAGAACCTGATAGTTTTGAGAAATAAAGTTTGCTGAAATCGGCAGATTAGATTATAGCAAAACCTGTATTTGCATCCATCCAACACTTGTGATTCCGAAATACACCCCTTCTTTTCTACTCTATCCTCGCTTGCACATGATTTTTAGTGTAAGCCCTTATTGTTGCAGGTACAGATCAGTCGGAACATTGTCCTGGATGAGATGCAACAGTCCACATCGGTATACTCCACAAAAGTCCTTCTTGGGTCAGATGAGGTGAGATTCTTATTCATTGCCACATACTTTCTATTACTCATCAAAACTGAAACTCATCCTTTATTTGTGTCTGTAAATTCAAGAGCAGAATGGAATGCTGGTGCGCAAATGTTAAATACCCTATTCAACGTAATAAGCGCCACGCTCTAATTAACACCCACGGCGATATTTGCTAATATATTGGCAAGTGAACAATCCCATTAGCATCCCTTTCGATTGATCAATGTACACAAGACTTATTTATTTGTGTATAATACGCACTCGTGTGTTATATGCACCCTTGATTATGGGCAATTAAATTCTGGAAAAAAATATCTGTCGTATATAAACAGTTCAGGCCGTCAGCATAACCACGAAATTTATCTTTCAACTCTGTTTTTTCCACCAAATAATTTTCTAATAAGAACCCCCTATTTCTAATTTTGACGCTTATTACGTCGAATACGGAATTGACCCTCAGCATTTCTGTAGTCATGCATAGTGGGTTTGCGGAAAGCGTGCACACCAGCTTTAAGGTTTGACAACATATGTCAATTCTTAATAATATGTGAACAGTATTAATTTCACAGGCTGCTTATGTAATCCTTAACACAGAACCTGGAGACAACAATACAAAATTAGTGCTATCATTCTGTGCAATTATGCACAAGCCCCGCCCATTCTATTTTCAACCAATCAGTGAACAGTTGTCCATCAGGATGTGTGGTCTAATTTTTTTTCGATTTGTGGTAACATTGTGGTAACAAAACAAATTGCTTTTTGAGCTAACCATATGCCATGGAATCACTTGCAATTGATTTATTGTGAATTGGATACTCTTTAAATATTATAGAATAATCAACTTTGTTCTGACCAATCAAATTACAGTTCTCGGGCTGAGTTATTTAGAAACATAAAACGAATTAACTTTAACAATGCATACATCTCTGATTTAATTGAAATGTAGTTTTTGTGTATTTATTTAATTAAATTTTGATGTAATATCATTTTGTGACTTTGTTCTCATCATTTTGGTTTAGCCTTTAGTTGCCTTAAAGGTGTTAGGAGTACACAATGGGAAGGACTCAAGAAATATATTTTCTATAATGGTTCTAATAAGTGTAATTGGTTTAGACCCAAAAAATTTGTAATGAACATAATTTTCTAAGCAATATGAAGAAACATGGAAGTCAAATTATAGGGATAAAAAAAGATTAAAATATTTTACATTTATCTCAAAATTGTTTCTTTTGTAATTTTTTTCCAATTTATGGATTGTCTGATTCAATAAAAAAAAGGAAAAGAATTTATGCTTCTGTATAACCTGATTTTATATCCTAAGCCTTTGTGGTAATTACATTTTTTTCACTGTTTCAGCCTCTTACCCATGTCCTAGCTAAAAATCTAATAGCTGAGGTGAAAACAACCAAACCCATTATCCTAACAATGTCTCTGAAAGATACCACCCCACAGACAGTGAAAGCTCTAGCTGCATTGGTCAAGGAAGTTGTCAGCTGACACAAACAGCCAATCAGTGATGAGATACCATGTAAAGAAATCCAACCCAGTCTCATGAAGTATGATGGGTCAATGACTATGTGAAGTCAACCGTGAACACATGGCTTATACCTATCATTCCTAGGGAGGCCTAATTTGACAGTTATGAATTGTGTTTGTCAGTGTACTTCCAAGACGTCACGTACGACACTGTGTATGAAGTCAAATACCAGGACATTGAGAGGTATATAGTTGTCCTCATTTCTTATGCAGGAGTAAGAGTGAATGAATGTTGTTTTGCACTTCATTTGTAATATTTCATACTGTTGTGTATGACTCAAAGGATGTAGAAAAGTGTGGCATATCAACTGGTCACACATTAAGCTTGGAAGTCAAGTTGTCCTTGTCATGGCCCCAATGTTAAAAGTTAAATATTTAGGGGCCCCTAGATACAAATACTTAGCAGCAAGTCTCAAGGATCCCATCTGATTTCAAACACTGCTTTATCCAAGTGTTTGACTCACCTCAACATAGTTCACAACAACAATAGAAGGATATTGTATGTGAACTACATTAGATTGTATAGAAAAGTTCAGAGGTCAAATAAATGATGAAATTTGAAGGAATGTGCTGGGAATTGATAATCAGTTCAACACAACTGAGACTCATCAAAGCTCAACACAACCGAGAAATCTCACGATCAAGACTACAGTGTTCAACTGTATAATGAAATGCTTGCCAATACTCTGGACTCATCACATCAGTGGTATATAGAGTGAACAACTGTCTATGCCATAGGGGTAGGGGGTCACACTAGGATGTTTTTGAGCTGTAGCACTTGGAAGTTTAATCAATTAGTCAGTTGATAGTTTATCCATGCTTTGAATATGTAGATCTGTTAATCATGTTAATCATTCAGTCAAAGATTGTATGATATCAATAAGCTCCAAATGTTTACATATTTGAAAATGAAGACCATGTGTACATGCAGTGCCTGAAATAAGCATGTTGGTTGAGTTAATGTTGGCCATGATGTAAACAGCTTGTTTCTCATCTGGAAGTGAGTGTTGGTTTTATTTAAATGCATATACACTTAGTGGTACAGGGTCTCTGAGATCCTCAAAGTTAGGAACAGCTAACTGCATACCACTCCCACCAGAACTCCCACTATCTGCAGGAGTCCTCTTGTTAGTGTGTCACAGCTGATTAATGACCACAAGCTCTTCTGTACCAGATGACATGTGTGTCTGTGTGCCTGCTTGCACGTGCAGAAAAAAATTGTCTGCTTTTAAAATATTGATATTTGGGGATTTTGATGTACTTTCGAAACACATTAAATGTTCTGCAGATTAAAAAAAGGATATTGGTCAACTTGAAGCTAAACCATTTAAATTTACACTTATTGTGCATACTATAATGGTCTTATTAATGCTTTCAAAAGAGGGCAAGACATGTTACAAAGTATAACTCTTTTACCATGAAACATTTATCAAGTCAATTATGTACGAAAATATCAACAGTACAGTAGATCGATGAATAATTAACACAAATGTTCAAAATTAACAAATTAAGTTTTTACATGTACCAGAAACAATACATACAAACTGGGTTCATATCTGCTCCTCAGCCAAGCCCCTGCTCTATGCATCAGCCTAAAAGGGGCCAGGAACCAGTTCAGTCACCTAAGTTGCATGAAGGATGCAGGGGCACAGATGCAACTTAACCTGAAGCCTTTAGGGGCAAGGGTAGCCCAGTCATATCAGGCACCACAATTCGCTGTGCACAGTTGCTTCCCTTGGGCATGCCAGAAACCTATGATCGTGGGTTCGTATCCTGGTTTGCCCCAATTATGTTTTTAGGTTTGTCAGCACCATACCCGTGCTCTTGGGTTTCACCGAAGTGGTAAACGTCTGAGACATGCATCACTTCGGGCTTTCCTCCCACATTAAGCTGACATGCTGTGATATAACTGGAATGCTGTTGAAAGCGCCATTCAACCCAAGCCAAGGGACGCAACTCTGCACAGCGAATCGCAGCGCCTTAGATGACTGGGTCACCTGTGCCCCCCCCCATATGGATGAGCCCCATTGATGCCCTCATTCAAAGAGGAACACAATAATATCTTCACTCTTTTAAAGTGTGATGCCCCAGCTCTTGGTGGCAGTTGTGGTTTTTGTTAAATGCATGCCTGGAATCTCCACATGTGTTTGGGGTGAAGCAGTTGTGTGTTTATAATGAGCAAGTGTTGATCTGTTAACACATATGTGTTTCATTCATTTTTTTATTTTGTTTAAAAAAATAAATGAATTAAAAGAAAGACGTCAAGTGTTGTTTATTGGGTATCCTCAGTGGAGTGTGTGGATACAGTTTGAATGTACAAGGGAGACAACTGTTGCATCTTTGTTGGTTTTCATGCCATTTGAAGGAGAAGCTCTTCTACATTGTAAATTAAATAAGTAAATTTGATTTATATTTTCTTTTATGGCAAAGAATATTTCACAAGAGAAAGATGTGAATACCATGCATGCCCTAGACTGAACTATGGAAGTTCTGTGTCAGCGTGTGGAGGTAGGTCCTGTGTAGAGCACATAGGTCACATATCAGGCGAGGAAAGTAAATGGATGGGTGACCGGGTGCAAGTTTGACTCCTGAGAGTTTCTAGGGCTTCGGTCCTGCACGACATTTACACACATGTAACATGTGGTGTCGCCTTAGGCACGAGGCAAGTGACTTTTGTTTGAAATGTGCCTCTGTTCACCCAGCAGTGAATGGGTGGTAATGTGACAGCCTTCTAACACCTCATAGACAGCTTGGGTTGTATAATCCCCAGGGAGCTGAGAATGACATTCAAGAGCACACTGATCCATTGATCGGGGTAATAATGGTGTAATGCTTTGAGCTGGCGCTAGTTTATGGAATCTAATGCATAATACATGCTCAATATTATTATCCCCCCAGTTTGAAAAACGGGGATATAGCAATCACCATGTTCATCCATCAGCTATCTGTTTTCCATTTCCAGAGCAGAACGCCAAAACTGTTCAACATTTCTTGTTGAAACTTTGTATATACAGGTCAGTCTAGTGGGGAACTGGTGCCTTTTGATGATTTGTGATTTTGTTGTTGTTGATTTTTTTCATTTTTCCAGGATGATAAGTTTGAGTAATACTGAAAATGAGAGTTGTACTCGTTTCCTGAGCAGACCTCCATAACTGTTGAATATTTCTAGATTAAACTTGCCATAAAGATCAGTCTGGTAGTGAGCCAGTGCCTTTTGATGATTTCGGATTTTTAAAAATACTGAACAGCGTTAACTGAAGGTATCCAATTGCAATGAACCAAAAATGGGGTATAAGTAGCCAAACTCCATTTCCAAATTGCACCAGACTGGGGGGATATGTCATCTCCCGATGACTCTTGTGATAAATTATTTCCACTTTTCCCGAAAAAGAATTATTGTGAGTAGGGAGATTTATCAAAAGCAACCAAGATTAGCCCCCAAGTCTGCGGCAAATGTCAGTACATATACCCTAATGGGAATAAAAGAATTCCTAAACTAATGTGATGGCTTGGACAAGATGCCTTATATTTCACTTATAACAGGACCAATAAAGAGACTTCAATGCATAAATTTACTTTATTGCACTGAATGCTGTGTGAAACTACAATCTTAAAACACCTCCAAAATAAAAAAATGTAAGAACTTTTAAAAAGTCCCAATTTTGAACAAAATACAATTTTATTGTCAATTTGCAAATGAAGGCACATAGTTCGGAATCCTATAGTTATCCCTGACTTACATATCTTATAGCATCACTTTTTGACCTGGTTTTAGATTGTGGGCATGAAACTGCATTATGAAAGACTCCGGCTGACCATGACTATCACACTTTGAGGTTGTGTTTTTCTAACTAAAGGAGCTTTCATTTCCAATGAATTTATATAGTCTGTCAGTCCATTAAGCTTCACTTCAGATCAGTCCTCCCTTATGAAAGTTGATATATAATTATGGTACTCACGAAGTGATGACAAGACCTACCTTGTGACCCCAAAGAATGTGTGAATGTCCAAGTTTTGCCAAGGATCATGGGTGTGCTATGGTGTCCATGTTGAATTGCTCCGAGGGCTTGATTATTATGTGTACAACAAATATGAATATATAGAACACATAATATGCATCACCCTTTGTGGGGTTCCAAGTTAGAATACAACCCTAGAATGACTGGATTGTCTGACCCAGACTTCGCTGCCATATGGCTAGAGTATTGCTGAGTGCAGTATTAAACAACGAATCTGTAACAGGAGGCAGTATATGTAACTTGTTACAAAAGCTTGAGACAATGTATGGAGCAGTCCTTTCATGAGATTGATGTTGACACTTGTAACGGTGTCATGCTTGTGGTTCTAATATGTACATAACAGGACCTGCTAGTCCTGCACCATGACCGTGGAATATATTTATTTTATGAAAAAAACATAATCTAGAAATGCATACAAAAGCAAGTCTGAGCTGGCTAACTTTCATAAGGGAGGACTGATCTGAAGTGAGGCGTAATGGACTGACAGACTATATAAATTCATTGGAAATGAAAGCTTCATTAGTTAGAAAGCTCTGAAATCAGTATAGGGAATTTTTATTTTTAGAGTCAAGTAGGATCTTGTGTAATATAAGATTTCAGAGACTAAATGTGAGTCTAAGGAACTGCCTAAACAGGTCAAATACCTGTCAAAAATTTTGAAATTATCTCTGCATATGTTCAACACATTTCTATCTACCAGATGTGCCCTGTGCAGCCTTTGAAATTTATGCTAGTCAGCTAGCCCAATACTCCTAAATTGTGAGACCGCCTCCGTGGTCTAGTGGTAGAGCGTCTGCCCGGAGAGCAGAAGGTCTGGGGTTCGATCCCCGACCGCGTCATACCAAAACACGTTAAAAGATGGTACTTGTTGTTACCCTGTCTGGCGCTCGGCATTAAGGGGCTAAAACAAGGACTGGTCAGCTCGGCGTCAGTATACTGTGTCTGAGTGGGGTATTCTTCTTAAACTGCGGCATGGTATCTCAGTGAGCTAGCACTATAAATCGGCATCAGTCCGGACTAGTACAAGCAGCCACACAAACACACACACGTACATGCACGTCGCTATATAAGTGCAATAATCTTGGACGCGACGTTAAACCCCATTTCACCTCACCTCACCTCACCTAAATTGTGCTGAGGAAAAGTAAAATTCAATGATGGTAGTCGTCAGTGACAAGTACTTAGCATTTGAGGGCTGTTATTCTGAACCAGTTCTGAATGCTTCAGTCCTGCTACAAACTGGAACAGTATAATTGACATAAAATCTAAAAATAGTGAACATTTTTGTTTGGTTCAAGCAGAACAAGCTACAAGCTCTGAGCACTGGTGAAATAGGTCCCCACTGGTCTCAACCCGTCACCCCCACCCGCAACTTTAAGGCTGCTGTGCTCTGGCAAACTTTGCATGTAGTACAAGGATGTTACATGGATCAGGCTCTGTGACTTGGTTGATTGTGATTCATCATACGTCCCCAGGCCACATGGACTGTTGCTTGTAATATCAACCACTGGTTTGTCTGGTCCAGAATTGATTGTTTACCGTCCCCAGTCATCCTGCTTGCATACTGATCTTTGTGGCTTTAAGAAAACATGACTGGAACATGTAGGTAAAATTTCAAATATATGTGTCGGAATGAGATACGGAAATTCTCAGCTCTCAACACAGAATAAAATACATCCAAGAGAATCCACACTGAACTAGATTAAACAATTTGACAGAAAATTCCGCCATTTTTTCCTTTTCTGTGGTGGGTCATATTATTTTTGCCATTAAAATCAGACTTAACTCCATGCATTGAACACTTGATGCTTAACAAACAGGAAAGAGATTTCATCAAAATGAGAAAAACATTCCAAGAATTTATATCTGTCAGGTTATTTTTCATTGGAATATCATCATATGTTTTATTTATGCTAATGTGTAATACTAGCTTGACAGGATGGTGAAAACATTCAGTCAGGTCAGTGAGGGCCCAAGTCATATTTTCTGTGTTACTGGGAACATTTTATTGTTGAAAAAACACTGTAGTGATGCTGTTGCAAATTTGGTATTGTCATCATAGGGAGAGAAATGTAGTCATCAATGGGCAGTATTATAAACTGATGGACAAAACTGTTTTCCACACGACTGAATGTACTATGTATTAATATTAATATGTTGTTTGTAAACAGTTTTTTGTATGTGTTGTTTTAGTTTTAAGGTAGTATTCAAGGGAAAAGAAATATTTAATTTGTCCAGTATTTAAAATATAAATCCCATGATTTGAGCTGTATGGAAAGCATCTGAGTTATGCATGATTGAATTCGTCATGTGCAAGCAGTTTATATATTTGAACAATCTACAAGGATTAGGTAGGATAAGGGTCCTCTTTTGCTCTCTGGACATGTCAACTTTTATAGTTACAGAAAATACTATGAAACTTATCAGACATGTTCAAATGACTAACCTTTTTCCTTTCCTACACTTGGGATTGCCTCCGTGGTCTAGTGGATAGAGTGTTTGCCTTAAGAGTGGAAGGTCTTGGGTCCAGCAGCACCATACCAAAAGACTTTAAAAGATGGTGCTTGTTACCCTGCCTGGTGCTCGGCATTTAGGGGTTAAAATAAGGACTGATCGGTCGGAGTCAGTATACTGTGTCTGAGTGGGTATTCATGTTAAACTGTGGCATGGTATCTCAGTATAAACTATAAACTCGGCATTAGTCCGAAATAGTACCCTATTTTCGATTGACACCTATTTTCGAACAGCCATATTGAAAGTGATTTTGTTACGTAGAGGTGGGGCGTCAACAAGGCTGTCGCCTTGAGAGTGTACACGTTCAGTCTGTCAACATTGGCCTCAAGTGAAGTATTGTACACCTGTCAGAACAGTCCTGTCGGCATTCAGAATTTTGGTGCCTGTGCTATGATGAAAAGGAAGAGTGTAATAGTGTGAACATCATCATTTGACAAGTATTCATATTTTGTGACTAGGTTTCAAACTTTCAATTACTGTTTGAGTTTTAATGCCAACCCGCAAGAAATATGTTGAGAACTGCACCAAAACATGTCTGTACATTCATGGAAACCCCGCTAAAGTACTAAAACTATCAGGTGTTCGAAAATAGTTGACGTCACTCGAGTGCAGCGGAAGTTTACAGACCATGCAAATGAGGGCATGCCTTTTATCGAGGATTGTTTTTTCGTTAGTAATGGAGCTGAATTCTATTGTTGAAGACTTCACCTACTGGTGTGAAGCA